TTCACCCAACCACCCAAACCAGGTGGGTTTTGTTGTCACCCAAACAACCAAACCAGGTAGGGTCGTTTTTCACCCAACCACCCAAACCAGGTGGGTTTTGTTGTCACCCAAACAACCAAACCAGGTCGGGTCGTTTTTCACCCAACCACCCGCCAGGTCGGGTGTTTTGCTTCCTCTCCGAGGTGCATCTTCGACCAGGCCGACGGTGCTGAAGCGGCCCGCGGCGTCGAAGAGGCCAAGGGGTTGCGCGAGCGCCAAACTCGGTCCCCCGGCAATTGGTGCCCCGTTCTCACCGCTTCTGTTTTTGGTGGGGAGGGGTTTCCCCTACTAAAAGAGACAAAACTGGAAGAAAAGTTGGCGCCAACCTTTTTTTTTGTCCTCTCACATCTGGAGGACCTAGCGAAGTCTTGGTGTCTTTGAGGAAGCATTTTGTTTGGCAAGCCCACCTGCGGGTGAAATTCGCTCACGGTAAAGATCCTTTTACTGGGGGATGCAATTGGGTGTGGGTCAAAATGAAACCACCAGGAATTGGACCACAGGTTTTAGTCCTTGATAGTCCTTGGTTGCATTTACCAGGATTCCATTTTGGGTATCCATTTTTGACCCACTGCCAATTCTTGTTTCAGGCTTTGGACATATGGTTAAGCTTGCAGAGTATATTGAGGGCGGGCCAGTCGGCCAACTGCTCACTCCGGAGACCTGTTGGCTTGCCAGCGCAAGGCGCCGTGGACGCCGTTGCCAAACAAAGGGAAAGCGCAAATGTCTGACCCGCAGTTATATGGCTGTGGGTCAAAACCAATGGTACCATGTTGGGGTAGGTGCACCACCCATTTCAGAACCTATTTTAGTGGGGATTGGGATGTTCATTCAGGGTACAGGGTTTTGCCCATATAGAGATGACCAGCGAATGGAGCAGTAGATGGAAGCTGGGTGGAAGGATTATGGGGGAATGGGAGAATGGTAGGACTCAATGCAGTTTCCCCACAAAGGCCAGGGAGCATCAAACAATTTTCCAGGGAACCCCCATGACGGTACACAAAGAATGCTGTCCAGAGTGCTCAGTGCGATCAGTATGCGAATATCCTCACTTGACCATCTTAGAACGGGCATTCAAAGGTGGTGCTGGCAGAGCGGAGTCTTCCAGTTTCTGCGGAGCTCCAGCTGTGCCCTCGATTGACGATTTTCCACGGGCGAGAATGACTGGGACAAGCTGTTGCGACGTTGCATTCCACGAAGAATGACGCCAGCAGACACCCCGGTGCGCCAATCCTACCTGAGTCCTGGCCAATCAAATCTTCGAAAGGCTTGTGATTCATCGTTCGGTCCGTCCATTGGTGCGAGAAATTCCCCACATGTGACATGTTGTAAGTACCTTTCGAGATTGGTCTCCAAATTAGGGGACCCCAAAACAATCGCCTTTCAAAACGGCTCCTTTCGGGGGGGGGGTTGCGGAGACAGGCATACCTTTTTTGGATGTAAACCCAGACTTGGTGGCCTCTTTGTGTGGAAACCTGGCTGATCACTTCCAATGTTTAGGGGAATCAGCCACTGGATCCGCCTTTCGTTTTTGGGAGGACCCGGCTTGGTTTTTGGTGTCGGACATATAATATGAAGGGATGGGGGGTGGGGTTTTTGGATAGCAAAGACTCGGGAGGTTTTCACCATGACCCACTTTGGCTCCGGATCCATAGGCTCACCGGAAGCCAATGAAGCCAGAAACCTACTTGGGACCCAAGGCAAAAAACAGAAACGAACCCGATGGACCACTGCCAACAAACCGGAAGTCATTGAAACCAGAAAACCACTTCAGACCCAAGGAAACTAGCTCAATTAATATCCCCAACCGCGTGTGGTGCTCTTTTTAGTGCTCGCACCACCCCGCAGCCCTCGTGGAACCTTCGTGGAACCTTGGGGAAAAACAGAAACAGGAACGGAACCCGATGGGGACGAATTGCCGAGAGAGGCCTCTCCTGGTGTTCGCGCCAGCGCAGTCCGGCTGGATCTCACCGAGGCGCGGGAGCGCTGAGATCGGGAGATCGGGGATTCCAATGGCATCGCCGGACCGAAAGGTCCTTGAAGCGGTGGCGCTCGCAGTCCTGACCTCCAAACACAGGCCAAACTCAGATTCAGTTTCTAGCTGCAGCTTCAGGGTACATTTAATTTCATTGGAGGGTGTGGATTGGTGGTTTGGGGATTTGACCCAGTTTGGTGTGGCGGATTTCTTGATCACAGCCAAAAGGCCGAGGAGGTATGACTTCTCCTGGCATGCAGCAAATTCAATTCTTTGCCTGCGGCCCACCCAAGCCGAGACATTGCAAGGAGATAATTCAAACGTTTTCTTTCAGTGGACAAGCTTGACCCGAGATGGTTTGACCTGGATCGTCTTTTTTTCGGTCGGCAAATTCTCTGGTTTGGTTTGGTTTGGCGTACACCGTGCCTTCCGCCAGGACGGAACTGACCCGTTTTTCTGTACCATCTGCTTGGAAGTAAACACCTGCAACCATCCATACCCGTCTTTTTTGCTTTTTGTCTTGAGCCTCTAAGCCTCACTTTGTGCAAGCAGTTGTGTGCAGCTTTGTTTGGATGGAGCCTCGGTTACAACTTATGATTGTGGGTTGTCTTGTCCTCACGACCAGAAGTGACAACAATATAGTCATTCCCTTGGAGGTGTGTCTTCTTGCTGTATCCATGGCCAACTCGTCAAATTCAGGGCTGGTATGCTCTCGTCCATCGACAGTCATCAAACTTGGCATTAACTTGTCATTTAGCGCGCAATTTGAGCCACGCATTTAGAATGGTGCTCAGAATTTTCTTTATGTCACAAGCTGATGAGGCAACTCGTTTGAGAAGACACAAGCTTTAGGTTGCTCAGGTTAACTCAAGATGTGCTTGACCGTTTGTTTACCAGAAACGGTGGACTGCAGACATGACCATGCCGGCTTGTACCATGCAACATGTGTTAGGGGTAGGTGTGTCGACCGCTTGAATTGCTTTCGCACTTTGGTTAGAGTAGATGGATTCCACTGGATGCAGCTTAGTTCTGATCATTTACCAGGGTTTCACAGAATGTGCGGCCGTACCTATGAATTTAAATAATTCGGCACCTAACATATCTCCGAAAACATGTTTTGGCTTTTTGCATGAAGATCGCATTCCGGACCGCAGATTTTGGCCCAAGCGGCAAGTTTGGCCACATGAAACCAGCGACAAGGGATCAGCAGAGACACCTGTTGAGGTTCAGCTTGGCTCTGATCATTTTCCGGTGCCATGCACTTTTTCACAAAGACGCCGGGGTCAGGCCTGAGGCAATCAGAAGCAATCTGGGCCAGGTATAACCCCAAGACATCTCGCGCCCCTTCCGATTCCAGGAAGGGGTCCCTCGAGGACAGCTGCGCACGACATTTGGTCCATCCGGGAGCGATGCCAACCCTATCGGCACAATAGCTTGACTGCTATTGGGTTGTTTTTTCGACTAAACAAACAGTTAAACACTTTGTGCAGGGGGGCCAACAGCAACCAAGATATCTCAGCCCCATTTGCTCTCTTACGCCAAGGGGCGCCCCCCGTCCTTTTCTTGTTCGGCGCACCGTGTGTCCCTTCGCCATGCGCCTGCGCCTGCGCTATGTGCATAACCTGCGCGTGGAGGCCGCCAAGGTCCGGCTGCACGAGGTGAATGGAGCCGCAGAAGCCGAGCTTCAGGTGCCCAAAGCCCTGCGGACGGTGGCGCAGCTGGCGGAGATGTGGCCCAAGCCGAAAGGGGGGGGGGTGCAGAAGTTGTCTCCGAAAAAAGAGACCAGGGTCGGCTGGTTTTTGTTTTTTTGCAAAACACGCGTTGGGTTTTGGGTTGCTATAAAATTCCAGCAAGGAGAGAACAGCGATGTTTTTTTGGGGCATGGGTGGCCTTTTTGGTTGTTTTGGGGGAGGAAACAGATGGCGATTTCCGGTTGACCTGGCTTTTTCATCAAAAAATGACAGCTTCTGCGGAGAACGGGGACTTTTGCTGCTCGTGCGCCATCTTCCGTGGGGTCTGCATGGCCGAGGTGCAAAAATCTGAAGGCTTTTGCTGCATGTCAACATGCCCGCGCGACCCACTGCGGGGGTCGGCGTGTGTCGATGTGCAAGAACTGAAAACTTTTGAGGACGACGCGGCACAGACAACTTGCAGAGAGATAGTTGCGCAGAGAGCTTGCGCTTGCACAGAGAAACAGGCACCGAGAGCTCCTTCAGAGAAACTCGCATCAAGCACTGGCCCCAAGATGCTGGCAAAGAGAAACTTGCACAGACAGCTTGTGCCGAGAAACTTGGACCGCGAACTTGTGCAGACAAACTGGGGAGAGAAATTTGAGCCGCGGACTTGCGTAGAGAAAGACCACTGGGGCAGAGAACCTCGATGTGAGGCCGAGTGGACATTTGCGGACTTGGAGCTGCCAGGTAAGCAGAACTGTGGATAGTTTGTCTTTTATGCCGCTTTCTGGGGTATCAAGGAAATCGGGATGGCCTAGTTTGTGTGAGAGAGGGTTGTCTTTGGCTGTTTCCCAAAGCCCCCGGGAAGTCCCAAAATTGGCAGTTTCCTTTTGCTACGCTTCTGACAACCAAATCAGAAGGTGTTCACCAATTTTGGACACCAATTCCAAAGATGCAAGCAAGGTTTCGGCATATGGGAGTGGCAAGGAAGGACCAAAGTAGGCATGAGCATTACTAGTGCAGCTCAATTGTTGCAGTCGCCGCACTACAAGAAGGGCGCGTGTGCTGATTGCCGTCCATGCCGAACGCCAGTTTCCAGTTTTGCTCACTGCTACCTTCTGCCCAGCGGCAATCGCATGAACACAACAAAAAACATGGTGTGAGAAATGGGTGTGGCTCAAAGTTTAAGAGCTTGGGTTACGCAGGTGTTGGTCTTTGATTCTATTTACCTCCACTTATCTAGGGGCCATTGTGGGTACATTTTTTGAGCCACAGCCACATGTATGGCGTGAACAGTTGAAGCGGACATCCGAAAGGCAGAAAGGTCGTAGATGCATTGCCAGTCAAATCCATTCTGCGGGGTGCAGGGTGCTTGTGACAACAGCGGATATTCCAAGGACTACTAATATGGCCAAGAAGCATCATTTGATCGCAGTCCACTTCTACCTGACCACAACCACTGACAACAAACTTGTGGCAAACAAACATGCGAAATCTTCATGGATTCTTGCATGACATCTTGCACCTTGAAACCAGCTGGAATCTCAGATCTGAGTAGAACATCCCCGGGGTGCTCGCCCCCAAAAGCGATCCGTTCGGTGAGGCCACGATATGCCAACCTCCCCAATGCTGTGGATGTGCCAAATGCACTTCACGACAGGTATGCTGTTGATGGTATAGTAAAATATACCCTGATCTGCAGTGTGGACGACAGCAGCTTACTTCCTTGCGTCAGTGGATTGTGCCAACGCTTCAAAATCGCCCCATTCCCTTGTTACCCCCATTGTGGTGCCCAGAAAACGAGAATATCCGCAGGTCTCTGATTTGTTTGGGTCCAGAAACCCGCACCAGCACAGCAATGTTACAAGACACAACCAGCAAAACACATAGAGGTCCCAAATTTCGTGAGTCTTCCCTGCCGTAAATGTCCAGAGGCTGCAATCCGGGGGCTTACTTCCGGTGCTGGCGGTGCAGGGCTTTGTTCTGCTGCCGGAGCAGCCGTTGGCAGTGCTGCGCCCGAACGATGAGGTGATGGCGCCCCGGTAGAGCGGCCCTCGAAAGAGGCCCTTTGAGGGCCTCGAGCGGCAGTTTTAGTGCGGATCACTGAGGGGCTCCAGAGATCACTCCACGTGTTTCTTTTTCTGGACCTTGGAAAGCATGTTGTTTCTTGTTCCCTGAGCGCAAAACGTAACATCTTTCCCCAGCAAGAAGTGATTGTTCTTGCATGCGCTTCAGAGGTTTAGTGCTTGATTTTCGCTGAAGACCAAGCCATTCAAGCCAGACTGCGGCAAGACTCCTGGGAAAGCAGACGCTAGCGCAACATCTCACGCTGAGGTTTGCGCGGCGCAACTTCCAGCCTTGGCAGACGTAGGCGGGAAGATGTGGGCCGCGACGTTGCGTCGAGGCTTTGTCCTGGACAAGCCCAGATGTGGGTAGACTATTTGTGTCTCTCTTTTTTTATGCGACCCCCATCCAAATTAGTGGTTTTCCTTGTGGTGTCCCTTCTAAACCAGCCCCAAAAGGGGTACCTTAAAGTAAGAATCAGACCCATAGACCGTTTTGATTCTGACTCAGACGTTTTTTCCCTCCGCTTGGCGCGCTCGTTCGCAGGTCCTGCGGAGCCGCTCGCCTCGCCCAAAAAACCGCCGCGGGGTCGAACTCCGCCGGCGCCGGCGGAGTTGGAGTTGGAGTTGGAAGGCAAAGGCCAGGAGGATCAAAGGGAGATGGGAGTAGAAGGGTGTCTAGGTCCCCTAGCAATTGGTGCCCTTTCTCACCGTTTCTTTTATGGGTTGGGAGGGTTCCCCGACTAAAATCGACTACAAAAGGGTACCAACTTATTCTAACCTCTCAACTGGAGGACCTAGTTGTGGACAACCTTCAGCAATAAAAAGGCGGAGAGTCCGGGTTTGCTGTTTATCTTGGCTTTGTTTTCCTTTTTAGGTTCTGCTCCCGTCCACGTTGCCATGGAACCTGACGTTTCGGGGTCCTGGAAAACGATGTTCCTCGAAAACGGTCCATCCTGTGGGTGTCACCATGTTAGTGGGTGGTTTGGCCGGAAATAGATGTGTTCCACTGGTTTAGATTGGGTTCCTTCCCCATTTACCAGGGTCGTCATTTTGTCCCAAAAGGTCTCAGTGCTGTTTTTGAGGGTACCCCTTTTTGTGGTTTCACTGAAGTTTTGAGGGTCCTAACAACACCCACGGCGGTTTTGTGTTGTTTCTACGGTTTGTACCTTAAGCCAAAGGGACACCGTATGTTTTGGCGGTCCCCGTATGGTGTCCCTATGTCGACATGCCCAGATTGAAGGGCTTCTCTGTGCAGAAGACAGCTCAACCACTACGAGGGATAGACACGGACGAGCAAGGTGGGGGCTCCTGGAGGAACCTGATCTTCCAGGTACCTTCTCAGAGGTGTTGGTTGCGGCCTTGAAGTTTCGGCTTGACTCTTAGCTAGTTCTTTGCACATCATTCTTAAGAAGATGTATCACAAAGACCATCTTGGCTAGCTGAGTTTCCTGCTCGTTAGAAAGCTAAGAGTCTCAGAAGTCAAGAATGTTGATTGTTGAATATTGCAGAAACACTGCTCGGATCATTGACTCCTTGCACACTAAGCCCCCCCTCTCTTCTCTCCGCTCCTCGCTCGTCTTCTTTATCTCTCCGCTCTCCGCTCGCAGCTCGCAGCTCCTCTCGCAGCGCCGTTTCCTTTTGTCCATCACCTCCCAGCCTCTTTGTTCTCAACTCCCGACACCCCATTCTCTTCTCTTCACTCTCCCACCAGCGCAACCACTCACGCACAAGCTCACGGCCTCGTTTTAGAGGTCCGTCCCGGAAAGGTGATGTACCGAAACATCTTCCATGGCTGGCTGGCTTTTGGTGAGGCAGAAGGACATCTACTCCCCCGACGTCAGCGAAGCGTCCGCGGCCTGCATCGATGGCGCGAGAGACGGGCGCCAAGGCAGCTAGAGGCGCTCGGGGACAATGGGCACCTACACAGATTTTGCTTTGGAGTTGGTACCCTCGTTGAGGGTGCTTAGAAAAGGACACCAAAGCGGCAAACCACCTATTTTTGATAGGTTTCCCCCCACCCCATGGTTGTCAGGTCGGTTCTGAAAAGATTCTATTTTTTGGTTGTTTGGCGGGGTATGGGAGGGCTTTGGCTTTTGCTCTCTGCGAGGGCAGTTGGAAGGTCCCAAGGGGTCCACTTGACATCCCGCGCTGTTTGGCAGGAGGAAGCCTGCGTGCTTTCGACAGCCAAGAGGAAAAAATGTCATCAACCAGGCTAGTCGGCATCAAACTAGCCATGCAAAGACACTCACGGGACAGTTCTGTGTTGTGGGTCACAGGAGTAGAGGACGAGGAGGGGTGATCAGGCAAGCTGAGGAAGGGGAAACGAAGAAAGGAAGAAAGGAAGAAAGGAAGAAAGGAAGAAAGGAAGAAAGGAAGAAAGGAAGAAAGGAAGAAAGGAAGAAAGGAAGAAAGGAAGAAAAAGGAAGAAAGGAAGAAAGGAAGAAAGGAAGAAAGGAAGAAAGGAAGAAAGGAAGAAAGGAAGAAAGGAAGAAAGGAAGAAAGGAAGAAAGGAAGAAAGGAAGAAAGGAAGAAAGGAAGAAAGGAAAGGAAGACTGCCAATCGGGAATTCTATGTTGATGAAAAGCACTTGAAATTGACCTGTTGTTCTTTGTGTTGTTGCATTCCCACATAAGAAATTCATGATGCTACTGTACTCTTCCACAGGTCACAGAAAGTTGTCATCATGTTTGTTGCCTTTGCATATCATCCGTGTCCTAGCATCGCTTTTGCAGGGCCAGGTGTGCCTTTTGGTTCGGCAATGCCGGATACATACAGTTTGCCTGGGGATGGCCCACTTACCAACAAGCAAATGAGCAAAATCGAGGTGTCCAAATCGCCCGGGTAGCTTAGCCATAGGTTCGCCAGGGACAGATCCGGTTTCGCCATACCGACTTGTCGTCCACCAAGAATCTCTGCACCCGTCACATACGAACTTTGTCATGCACCAAGGGTTTCCAATCACCAGCCAGAAGGTTTTCCGGAACGGAGATTTGCAAACATCGGGTGAGGAAACGTGTGACCACGAAGCCTGGTCTGACCATCTCCTGACTTTGGAGATTTGGTGGCCGAGTCTGCCAGGCATTGCTAGCGTAGAACTGTTGGCCTTGCTGGCCTCGTCTGGGCTGGACTGGCCGACCTCAAGGAAATGTGGCAACGACATGGTCTCGCACCCTTGCGAAGATGATGTGTGGCCGTGCTTTATGTTGTTGTTGTTTTTGATAATGTGTGTTTCCGCAAGCCCAAGCAGCACTTAAGTTTTGAACTTCGCCTGAGCTTGCGGAGAGCAGGCCAAACAAGCGCAGGAGCCATATGCACGGGCCCTATGCCAGGATTGGCAAACGTGTTGAAGCACTCATCCCATGGTTTCCCTTTGAAAAGCAAGGGAAGGTTGCTCAAAGAGTGGTTTCATCATGTGGGTGTGGCTCAAAATTAAGGAGCCAGGGCTACGCGGGTTTTAGTCTCTGGTTCCATTCGCCAAGGTGGCCATTCTGGTACCGATTTTTTGAGCCACAGCCATGTGTTCAACAAACGAAAGTGCCCCAACTCCCCCCCTTCCCGCCTTCCCCGAGCCCCCAGGCTGTCGGCTTTGCTTTTGCCACGGTCGCAGGCAGCAAGACGGCGCCCGAGGCAAGCAGCGCGCCAGGCTGGCGCGTGCAAGAGGTAGGCAACCCCCACTTCACATGAGTCACGATCAAAACCCGGTACACAAATGGTCTACCCGGAGCCATGCTTCAAGAATTAGGAAGGCGGATATCCGCAACTCTTTCCGGCTGGGACTGCCCCTTAACCTTCATCTACCCGAATCGGTTTTGAGCACGTGGCTCACATGGATTTGTCCCACCCCAAACCATCCCTTTGTAGTCTGGTACCAGTTCGGAAGGCGCAAACTCCCAAGTGGACTCAGTCCTCGGCAAGGCCTACTTGCACTGGGCAAATTCAAAGCTCTCTTAGGGGAATCTTTCCAGCAAGAAAGCCAGAAACGGGGAAAAACCCAGTGGCTGAAAAAACCGTTGGGATCAACCTCCGGGAAACAGCGAAACATCCACCATTTGATGTACTCAGATTTGCTCGTGGAACCACAAGAGGGGAGTCCTAAAAGAAGTGCACGAAAACGGGTTGTGTTTGGGGTTCCACGTTTGCGGGTTTGCTCCTCGTGTTGGAATGTAACACGCTTGTTCTGCTGGCCTCCTCATCCTGGGTCGTGGATAACGCCATCCATGTTCGCTGAAACGGCGCAATGGGTTCGAAACGCATGGGGCTGAAGCCTCTAAGTTAAGTGTCGAAATTTTAAAGAGTGAGACGATTCCAGCCATAAATGGGTGCGGCCGCCGTTTCAATTCTTTGCATGGTTCTGGATAGACAATAGACCATATCAGTACCAGGTTTTGATTGTGACCAACTGATTTGCTTCAACCGACGTTGCGCGAATCATCAGTTATTTGTCTCATTGTGCGAAACTCGTTTGCCGTCAAATCAACAACTGTGAAAGACCAGTCATGGGCCTCCTGTTGGAGCTTCCTTTTGAGAGGTTCTCTGCTGCATTTGAGGCCGTTGTCCAAGAACCAACTCCAAAGTTTGCTTGGAACTTGGGCCTAAGCGGAAGAAAGGCCATGGAAGTTGAGAGGATTCCAGGCTCCGACGCGATTTGCCCATTCCCTCGGTTCCCATTTTGTGAGGCGACCTGGATCGCATCTCGGCTGGAGCTGAGGCACAGTCTGAGGTGAGGAGTTTGGCATCTCTTTTCCTTTCAAGCCCATCTAGCGGATGGCTCAAAATCTAGGTTCGGATTCCAGTTGTGATTTGAAGTGGGTTGGTTTGGAATCGAAATCTGAAGGGTCCCTTGGAATGTCGAAGCAGTTTCCTAGGGCTCCTATTTGGTTTTCACACGCCTCGCTTCGGTTGTCCTCAAGTGCCGACGGGGTTCTTCTCCCAGCAGCCGAAAATGGGTTGGAAATGCCATGGGTCCCACATTCTGTATATAATTAGTTTGATTTGTGCACCAATTGGTTGCAGTATCCTACTTTAATCTCCAAAGCATGGGTTTTGTAGGAATGGAGCTCGGGCAAAGGTCCGAGTGGATCCTGAAGTCTCCAGACTTGGAAAACCAATCACTTGCAAGGGGTTGCTTGGATACTTGTGAGGTTGAGTTGGTTTTCTCCGCAAGCGCAGTTCAGTTGGACCCCAACTCTCCCAGGCCGGGCGCTTGAGGAGCAGCTGGCGCAGCAGCAGCGCCGCATCCAGGAGCTGGAGCACGAGAACGCGCGCCTCAGGCGAGGATGACGTTTTTATTTTGGGCCGAGGTTGGTTGGATAGGTTTACATAGATAGGTTCATTGTATTTGATGCGGCTCACCTGGTCACCTCGGAAGACTTTTTTTCCTTCGGCCGAGGTTCGATAGATAGGTCTAGATAGGTTAGATAGGTTAGATAGGTTTGTTAAAAGACCTTTTTTTGGCCGAGATTTTATTTGACGCGCTTTAGAATTGTCTTACCTGGTTCGGCTCGCCGAACATGGGCCAGAATGAAGCACTTTTGTTTGCACGGGGTATGTGGAATTTACAATGGCAACGGTTTCCTTTTTGGTGAAATGCCAAACACAAGGGGGGCTCCGAATCCCAGTTTGAGAAGCACTTGATGTTTTGCCATCTTGCTGTGCATACACGTCTCCTTGGCATTTTAATGGCAAGGTGGGAGTTTGCTGGAATGGGGTGTGTGGGTTGGGGAGCGGAAGTGCCTCTGAGGAAGGATCAAAGGGTCTTGAAAGGTTTGTGGACACCGTGGGTCAACATGCAGGGAATGGGTTTCCCAGGTAAATGGAAGCTTGGACTAAAGCCTGTGGTTTGCTGGTGGTTTAGTTTTCACTCATACCCATTTTAGGTCTACTGCGGAAAGCCCCTTCTAGGTGACGAAGTCGGCATCAAAAGGACTTTTTTCCCCACAAATGGGTCTTGAAATGAGATGAGGTTTGTTGGTGGTAGGGTGTGTGTGTGTGTGTGTGTGTGCATGTGTATGGTTCTTTTGGATGGTAACTGAAAAACCCAAACTGAGCCTCAGAGTCAGCCCTGACTAGCTGGGATTTGTTTGCTTTTCACGTGACTGCTTTCACGTCTCAATTTGCCTTTGGGGAAGCTTTCAATTTGATTTTCCAAATGGCCTTGGCGTTGAATTTGATTTTCCAAATGCCAAACAGATCAAAACCCAATAGAACATAGTGCCCAGAAACCGCAACCGACCCAAGGTGGGAACTCACGTCTAGAAGTTCAGAATACTGTTACGGTAGCCCTCCTTAAACCAAGTCGCAACTCTGTGGCTATGATTTGACGCGAGAATATCAGCTCCTCAATAAATCGCTGGTGGACATGCATGAATTCCCTTAAGCTTGCCATGTGTTTCTTCCACGTTTGTGGGGAAGCTTCTTTCAGGTTCTTCTGAAGAAAACGGTCGTTAGGATAATTTTGACGTTGGGCACGAACAGCTATTCCAGAGATTAGTTTACTACCTAAATGGAACCGTTTGTTCGGCACCATCCTGCCAAGAGAGCCGCCCGCCATGGGCCTGTGTTTTTGAAATCAGCCCTTCTGGTTGCCAAACCTTCTGGTTGCCAAACACTTACCGCTTTTACTTTCTTGTTCATGGGTGTCCTGACTGCAAGTCGCATGAAGATCAACTCGAGGCGGCGGAGCTTGCAACTTGAATTCACACTGGCCGATTGGACAACCAACGGCCAGTTTTGAAGGCGACAAGGAGATTTGCCAAATAGTGAACACCCCCCCAACCACAGGGAGGGGGGGCTGTAGGCCTAGAACACATATAACATGGCAACGGTTCCTCGGTGTACCAGGCAAGAGGCTTGTGAAACATTCGCAAACTCCAGCTGGAGCTTTGCTTACAGTATGTAGTCCCTGAAGGGATTCTCACATGTTCGGCATCAGATTCTCGCATCTTCACTCATTTAGCGCCCCAGAAACGGACGCTGGCCGCGATGTTAAACGATCAGATCGGCGGAACCCCTCACTCATGGCCCGGAGGAAGCTCCAGTCGAGCGAGAAGCGCTGGGCGCCGGCCGAGCCGGAGCTGCTGCGGAAGGGCAACGTGATCCGCTACCAGCTGGACCGGGGCCCATTCCGGGAGGGGGTCCCCCCCTAAACCCTAAAACCCCTAAAACCCCTAAACGCCCTAAAACCCCTAAACCCTAAACCCAAAACCCTAAACCCTAAACTTTATTACTACTTCTGGGCTGGGAGGTTTGGTCTGGAGCCGCCTTTTTGGGGGGCTTGTTGGTAAATATGGCCTTGGGACCTCTTTCAAAGTGGCGGGTGGATATAAATCCCATTATAAATGATGTCCACCAAAGGGTCCCCTATTAAAAGTCACGCCCATATGTTTGGTCTGGATCCGCTTTTTTGGTGGGGCCTGTTGGTAGATGTTGGTATGAGGTGGAGCTTTCAGATCTTGATTGATTGCAATTCTAAGATGGAAGTGGTTGTGGTTCTGCTGGTAAGAAGGTTGGTAGGTGTTCTCTAGCTTCCAAATCCGACAAGTCCAAGAATTCTAAGATGGGGCTTCTTTGGTTGCCTTTTGGCTGACAATGGTGAGAGCCAGTAGCTAATATCCAAGGGGTTGAGGAGCCATGGGTTTCGTTGTCTTGCCTTTGGGGAACTTGGAGGACCTCATTGACGCCTGGAACCACACCATGCAGCGCTCGCCGGAGAAGGCGGCGCCTCTAACGAGCGGGTCCAAAGAGTTCCTCGCTGCGGCGCATTTTTTCGAAAGGACCCAAGGGAAAGGAAAAGCGACACTGCGCCACGGTTGTGTTGCACATTCCGCCACGGCTCACCAGGCACCTTACTTTGTCACGATGGAATAAATGGTGTGTCGTGCATACCTATGCCACGTGGCAATGTACCAGGCCAACTTGCAAGGAACACCCTCCAGATTCTTTCGCTTTCGGAAAGCACAGACAACGTCGCGGCCTGCCTACTTCTTTTTGGCTGTTTGTCTTGAAACTGCCCCAAGTTGGTAGCTTCTTTTCATTCCTCTCAATGGGCACAATTGGACTTTCTACCCGGTTGCTTCTGATTCTTGGGTGAGAACCCTTCCAGCGCGTCCGATCCCAAACGGGCGATGGCTGTTCTTTCAGACCTTTTTTCCAACCAAAGGCTTTTTGAACATCCTTTGATGGCTTCCCCACTTGGGAGGGTATTCTCCACGAAGATTCATAGCACCAAGTGCTCCCAAAACATCATGGCAGCGAGCGAGGTCGGTTTGTTTGATCGCAGCCAAGTAGCTTGTTTGCATTCCCCACTTCCCCCCCACACTTTTTCCTCAAGACATGGACCCCATTTTGGTTGGTTCAAGGGAAACTAAAGGAAGCCATTGCCAGGGGGCCGATTCATGTTTGGGCGATGCGTCAGAAAACAATTCCCCCCCCCCCACATGTTTCCTCGGTTTTCCTTTAGGCTTTCTTTCCTTCTCAGCCAACCCGTTTTTTTGGGGGTCTTGGCCTTCCTTTAGGTTTCCTTTTCAGCCAACCCTCGTCTTTTGTTTCCCCCCCCTCCCCGGTCGTCGTCGCCGAAAGAAGCGAAGCGATTCTGCGGGGAGACGAGAATTCCCGGCAGAAAACAGTTGGCCGCCACACATGCCTTCGGTTTTCCTTTAGGTTTTCTTTTCAGCCAATTTTTTCCCCTTTTTCTTTCTCGGTCTTCGTCTCAAGCGATCCGAGGGGGGACCAAACAAATCCGCCAGGTGGCGGTGATCACCAAAGTCGCCGCGGGCGGCGACGCCCTGAGCTTCGGGCTGCGCTGCGAGAGCGGCGGCGTGGACTTCCTGGAGGCCTCGCGGCTGCTGAACCTGCAGGTCTCGGTGACGTGAGCCCAGGGGAGACCAAAAAAAGCCGATGCCCGCGCGAGGGCGGGAGCGAGGGCGTGGCCGCGCGCAGTTGGATTGGGGGAGATGGGGGTTTGGCTGGGCTTGCAGCTTGGGAGCTTGAAGACCTCGTTTTTGCAGTGCCTGGCCTGTTTTGGGACCTTGCTTTTCCAGCAACAAGCCTTTTCAGACCTCCTTGTCTTCCCCAAACTGATTGTTTGAGCTTTGGAAGATGTTTGGCGCACTGATTCAACAGTATTAAAGTCACCCCCAGCGGGTTAAAGGGAAACAACACCCTTGGAAACAGGCAACATCATGGGCTGCCTGGCCCGTCCAAGAGCCAGTCTACTCAGTTCCTCGACCATGAGAGGCATTGAGGTTTCAGAGCGCCATGAATCGCTGGGACGTATTTGAACCAGTGGATCTTCTCATGGGGTGGGGTCACATTTCAGGCCAACAGTAGGACCGGCTTGGTTGATTAGAGGATGTGTGTTCCATTTTGGTTTCCCTAACACGGCACAACAAACTAGTTGCATCCGGAGAAAAAAAAGAAAACCAGAAAACAAACACCCACATGTCCCACATGTTTGCTCGGCCATGCGAGTTCGCAATTGGAGAAATCCAGTGACCCCACCCAAGGAGAACTTGATGAAGTTTCCGACATCCACTTAGGCATCCAGTTTCCTTGATCAGTCTGGCCAAGCATTCCGGTTTTGCGCAGGAAGATGCGGTGAACGGAGCCGTGGCGGAGGCGGATGGCGCAAGCCTTGGGGCTGTGATGGGCATCGGGGAATGCAGATGCAAAGGGTTTCTAAGGCATGGCCATCAAACAATTTGACCATGGCGCACTTGGCTTTGGCTTCCTTCCAGTCCTGGCTTCTTGGCTGCGACTCTGCCGATCTTTGCTGATGCTACGATGCCGTGCTGGGGACAAGGGTTGATTTTGGGTCATATGTGCGTGTCTTTGTGTGGGGAATTTTTGGGTGGTTCAACTAGAAACCAAGAGGATACCCATTTTTGTGGTTCCGTTTAGAGACAAAGCCAGATTTGTATGTGTGAAATTAGAGATCAACGCCTTAGGCCTCCAAGAAGGGCATGGCGCGTTTGGCATGTGAACCGCTGCGAACCACTGAGTTGGCAAACTTCCGAAAACAAACTGCATGGACCTTAACATGCATTTTCATGCATGTTTGGAATGAATCTGTCGAAATCTAAACTCAACACGCCTTCTGAGCCAGCGCACGTGTGGCCTTGCAGCCTCGGAATGTGAGAATGCCCGAAACCCAGTAGACGTGCAAGCCGGACTCAACTTGCATAGAACTGCCATGCCTGAATATTTCAACCCCCCGCAGTAAAAGAGGACAACAGCCCACAACCACTCAATGGCATGCAAAGCCCAGAGTAAAAAGCACTACAAGGAATGCCCAAACCTGCCTACCACATTGTGTGATTGCTGCCTGTTTCCTCCAGGGAGGAAAGGAGCTTCCTTTCATGTGGCAAAACAGGCGCCCAAAATGGTTGGCTTCGGTTTCCCTTTTGGTTCCTTTTCCAACACACCTGAAAAGGGCACCGAGCCTCAAAAGACACACACACAGACAGACCCATGTGGTTGACACCAGAACTACGTTGGCATGTGTCGAAATATGTTCTTAATTGCAGATATTACATGTTTTTTTAGTTTAACGGCATGAGCTGATTGACAATATAAATTGAATGTCAATGCAGGTCTTCTTGTCGCTTTCCCTCAGACAGGACATGCCATGCCAGGTTGTCCGGGAGCATGGCCGCGTGGACGTCCTGGTGCAGGCGGCCGATGCGCCCAGAACAGAGACCAAGGCCCCTGTGGGCAGAGAGGTGATGGTTAAGCCACCCAACGGGAATTGGGGTGTGGCTCGTGTTTTTTTTTTTTTAGGCGAAACCAGTTGAACGGGTTCTCAATTGAACGGGTTCCAGTTTGCATCAAAGCACAATCATGTAGCATCCTAGAACCAATGGAATCCGTTCAGGTCATTCAATGTTACACATTTGTTCGCGACATGTTTCGTGCGAATCTCGTGGGCTTGATTGTGTTGCTCCAAACTCAATTTATCATAGGTTCGGTCAACAATAGTAGGTAGGTAGGTCGGTGGGTGGGTGGGTAGGTAGGTAGTCTATGGTACATTTGGGAGAGTTGTAGGGCGACCCGCTAATTTCCCCACCAAAACCAGAGGAGCCAACAGTTCCCCATGTTCTGCTCATTGCAGGTCTGGTGCGAGGCTGCCGTGAACATGGCTTGCCTAGACTCCCCACAAGGCGTCGTGTCCGTTTACTGAGGCCTCAGAGGCCTTGGCAGGCAAATCAATGTGGGGTTAGGAGTGAGGAAGTCTTATCTCACGAATATAGCCATGGATATGTCCAAATTCGAGGCCATGGCGAGGGTAGGGGACTACCGCGAATTGCTGTCTGAGTCCGCAGTCAATGCTTTTGTTGTTCTAGGCTCTGTCATGAAGCCAGACAAAGACCTCTTCTTTTTTTTGTTATTTTATTTTATTTATTTTTTTTTGGGGGGGGGGCCGGGGGGGTCCCTATAGTTTTCAAACTCTATTTGACAAGCACTTGACAGCCAATGGCCAAGTTCTCGCGCGTTCGGCTGAGGCCGGCATCACAGGCAAGACTAACATCAAGAGCCACGAGGCGTGGGATATGGACTGAGCGAAGGCTAGCTTTCGGGAGGATCAAATGGCAGTGGATCAAACATTGGGTAACCTCAAAATGGGTTGCTCTGGTCAATGGACAGATGGACTAAAACCTGCGGCTTTATTGGTGGTTTAACTTCGACCAATACCCGAATGACCGGTGACACGATGAGAGTGACATTTGCTAGAAGCCATGGAAGTGAGCGAATGGCAGAATTCCAGTCACCAACAAGGGAGGCCAAAGATGTTTGTGTCGGCGTGGCATTTTTGGTTGAGGCGGGCAGGTAGGCTACCATCAAGCGTGTTTCACCCGAGAAGGAGCGTGCAAACGTAGAGGCTCGTGTTTTCGGAGCTTTCGAGGTGGATCTGGCGGATTTCCAGCGGGTCTACGACGTGAATGCGGGGCTCTGAAACATATAGGTCTCGGAACCCAAGTTGAGCAGGCTGCTGGTGCCTAGCAGCTTAGTCTGGGGTGGGGCAGTTGTTTCAGCCAAATGACCTTGTTCTTTGTTTGTGTGTGTCTAAATCATGCAAGGCCCCTTATATTTGTGCTTTGCATGTTGGGCACTACTTGTATCGTCGTTCAATCGCCAGATTTCAATCTTGTTCATGATCTGATCACCTTGGCCTGTGACATGATTTAGGTTGCCAACGAGCAGTCAACAGTGGTCATGAGTCTGAGGGGTGTGCTTGTCTTTTGGCTAAACATGCGTTGGTTTTGTCCCACTTGGACATGTTCCGCTAGCGTAAGCACGAGCTTTTTGGTTGGCCACCACCCCGTTCAGCTCTTTGCGCTAGAGCGATGTCCCGGCAAGAAACATCGACCTCCCCAAACGGACGAGGGATCTTTTAAGGAACCCCACTCTGCAGGCTGGTGAATGATGCACCGGCAGCAGACTTCGGGTAGATGACTTTGCCTTTGCGACAGCCCAAAATGGGTGATATCTTTCTCTTAGGGAACCCCTAAATGGTGGTTTTCCTTTTGGGTTTCCACAAGCACCGCACCGCAAAAAGGCGGGGTACCCTCAACAGGAAGACACATCCAAATGCCACTTTTTGCAGTATTTGCGTCTGAGGTCAAGGCGATCTTTCTGTGCGCCAAGGCCGTGCTGTGAGCGCCCCGGAAATTGGAGCGATCGCGGCGTTTTAGTTTTGTTAGAACTGGCACGGGGAATTCTAGGGGTAACTTCCCCATTCTTTCCAGGGATCCGAATCCTTCTAGAAAGCCACCAAACACCCTAAAGAACATGGCTGGTGTTTGAAAAGAACGATGGCGGAAAATAATGGGGAATCAACCCCTAGAGGAATGATACGCCTGGCTCGCGTGAAAAGGGGGAACCGGCCTGCAACTTTGGAACAGATTGCATCTCCGTTCCACTTTGGTTCCATGTACGAGCGTCTGCTGGTGCGTAGTCTCCCCTTCCGAAAAGGCAGAGTTTTGCGGTGGTCACTACGGGCAAAAGCAGACTTCCTTGCCAAGAGTTGAATGTGCATTGAGGTGAGCAACTTAGGCCGTTTGGTCTGGCCGCAATCATTCGCGCATTCTCCTTTTTCTGGGCCATTCGCCTTTTGGTGTGGGGCTTTTCCAGCCGATTCTGAGGCCATCGATGCTTAGCAATAACTATGGCCGCATTGTGAACATCGCATCCATCTCGGGGAAGGTCGGGGCCCCGGCCGGCGGGTTTTCTGTTTCGAAAAACGTCGTGGGCGGTTGGTGTATGGCCGCCAGCATGTCCGGGTCCCTTCCAAAGGGTTTCTGGGAGTCAAATTTTGCTTGGTACGATGCAAATTGGTCGGGGCTTTTGCTTTCCCGTTTGCGCAGCGTGAGTGAGATGGAAGGAAAGACCCTCTCTCGCCCTCCCTTTTGGAAAGCATGACTCGCCATGTGCGCATGCTGTGAGACACCCAGGCAGTATGTCAAGGATAGGCTTCTCCGAGATTTCTTCTAGGTCAGACGTGGGAGGAGCCCGGGCAAGGATTGCACCGGCCAGCCGCTATGGAGACCAGGAAGTGGAAGCAAGCTTGAAGAACTTTAGGGACCTCAGGGTCCCTTAGATGATACGCTGAATTCGAGGATCCCTTGGACGAATGCTGTGAGGAACCCTTCCACTTTTACTGCGCAATGGCTGAAGCAAGACCTGGTTCTCATAGAACATCATGTTTCCTTTCGCATAGGCAAAATCAACTTTGTGCAAGTCTGGCGCACTATGAATTCGCACTTTGCACAGCATATTTTCCAGCCATTGCGATGGGACAATGGAGAGCAAGCTCATGGCAGCTTGGAGCGGCACGTTTCGCGCGAGGATGGCAACGCCGGCATGCTGGCATATTCCTCCTCGAAGGCCGTGGGGACCGGAACTCGGGGCGCTAGACCCCGGAGCTCTCGTGGGTGAAGAAAGCGGGAATTCACCAAAGAAAAGACTTCCGAAATTGGATTGCGTTTCAACACAGGGCCATTGACAACTTGCACTGGCATGGAGGCACAACACCAAGAGGGAACACCATGGAACGCAAAGGTATCGAAATATGTGGTTCGCGTGGTTCAAAGTACCAGTAGTCTATGCTTTGGGAGGATTGTTAGGCTCACCAGCTGTCCCAGAAACATCACCAGACTGCTCTTTTTCGCCAGTCCCTTGGGTATCCGCATCTGTTGGGCCGTGGCTTAGTCGCTGGCTTTAAGCCGCTGGCTTCCAGCGCCAGAGAGGCGGCGGTCATCAATCTGACAAAGGTCATGGGCAAGGACTATGCCAGCCTTGGCAAGGAGCTCCCGCAGAAAACGTTGAGCTTCGACTCGAGCATTGGGGTTTTGGTGCTTGTCACCCTGGGTGTTTGTCTCTCGGCCCATAATTGTTGAATGTTGCCAAGAAATTCATGGATGGGTATGGGTCAAAATTAGGCCAGGATATGGACCGCAGGAGTTTTAGTCCGTGTGAGCCCAAAATGAAACAGGATGTGGACCGCAGAAAATTTACGTAGTCCATGTGAGCGGCAACCCATTTTGGGGTTGCCCTATTCTTGACAACCACACCCAGAAAGAGCTTCCGGCAAAGACATGGGTGGGATCGATCCTTGTCTGGGGGAGAAGCTTTTTGGATTGTCATAAAGAAACCCAACGTCAGAAGTCGATCGTGTATTCAATTGAGACGAAGCTATGCCTTTCTCTACTGCAGGTCGTTTTGTTCAGCTACTGTATACTCTTGCTCATTCCTTTTCTCTAGCCATGTCCAGAAGGTTTACAGCGCCCGAAATCTGCCGGCGATTTGCCTTCGGAAGGATTGTTGGGTTGGGCAGCCCTTCACTGCGCAAGGTTCCCTCAAATCACGTGTCCCCCCACCTCCATGCGCCACTCGGATCATGGGGTGAATTAGTCGCGTGTTGGTTGGTTAGTTGGTTGGTAGCAGGGAAAGTTGTTTTTTGCACAGGCGCGTTGATCAATATTCCCTTCGGCTTCCAGTTTTTGTTTACTTGTTTTCCCCAATGGTCATTCCATGTAAAGGACCTTTTGATCAACCCCCGGCCTGCAATTGATCAAAGCATGCGCAGCACTTGTGCCTGAAGAGGTGGTAGGCCATGTGAGCTGACAACATTACCAGTCTATTGGGGAGGACAAGCAACCCAACATGTGGGCGTTGATCAATGTTCCGTTCGGCCCCCAGTTTTGACCATGGGTAACTTTTACCATCTAGTGCTGAGAGTCAGCCTTTGTGGGGTTTCCCTGGTCCCCTGTTTACCGGACCTTTCGATCAACACCCATTTTCGAGAACCAGGGGTTAGGGTCCGGGCCCCTGATCAGTTATTTTTCTCACGGGTGAGGACATCACCGTGAACTGCATCGCACCAGCCGTGGTGCAAACAGCGTGGGGATGCCCTCGTCACCGTGCGATGTCGGATGAGGGGTGGGGGTTGCTTCCAACAAATTGGGAACTTGGCTTACATGAGCAGGACTTTTCCCCACATTGAAGGACGCTTGATAGCAAGATGCCGCTTACTGTCAGGATACAAGCTAGAAGCCAGCGCATATGTTTTGTATTGTAAAAGCTGCGCGTTGCCCGCCTCGGCCAAGCCGAGCGCGCAGCGTTTGTGGTTCGACTGCAAGCAGCAGAGCTGGTCAAGTGGCGATTCGGGCATTTAACAGGTTCTGGCGTCGTTGGACCAATTGATGTCATGGGCCTGCAGGAATCCCCGAGGCAAGGGCAAGGCGATGCACAGGACAGGGTGAGCTGGGCTGGGTCTTGCTTGGTTTGGTTGCTGGACTGGGCTGGGCGGGCTGGGATGTGCCTTGCTTGGGTGGTTGCTGGTTGGGCTGGGCCTGAGGCAAGTCTCAGACGGGCCAAGGCTGAACCAGCCTTGTCTGACGTGTCCCTGCCTGTGGGCACTGCTTGTGTGGGTTCTGGTTGGGCTGGGCCGTGAGGCTAGTCAGACAGGCCTGGCCAGCAGGAAGCAGGAGGTCGTGCTTTTCGGCACCAAAAGATGTTAGGGCCAGCAGACATGGGGAAAAGTGAAGGCGCCTTTCAACGGTCATGCTGTATGTACTGATGGCAGACCGGTTACGTACTCTTAAAATCATCCTAAGGGCAGACTCAAAGCTACGGGGGCAAATTGAATGCCAAGGAGCATCAATTGGCCTTTCATCTAGGCAACCGAAGTGTGACCATTTTGGCGTACATCTTGTATCGTCCTCAAGACGTTCAGCTGTCAGGCACCTCTGCATCTTCCCCTTGCTTGTCTCTCCTCCTCTTAGTGCTTGCGCACGTACCAACCGAGGTAACTGGACCATTGGGTGGGAGAGGTCAAGTTGTCCGCCTTGTAAGAGCTGCGAGATCACTCTGAGTTGCTGTGGATTGGTGTTCCCCAAGTCTGCTGTAGGGGGTCTTTCTCAGGGCTTTATCCACCGAAGTGTCGTGGAGGTTCCTTTCCTGGCAGGGTACTTCGTTCAGATCCTTGGAGCTTTCTCTATTCTTCTTGGCGAGCCAGGATTTGGGCGAGCCTCCCTTCCATTTGCCGTAGCCTTGCAGGACTCATGTAGGCCTTGACTCTTTTTAAAACTGCCCTTGCAAGAAGGCGTCGTGTTCTCATTGTTCTTGTGCATCTTAGTAATGATGCACAAATTCCTTTCAGGAAATAAGACTGTTGATGTAAGTTTGTCACACTATCGAGGATGAACATGCCTAGCACGAGGGCCATGGCCATTTCAAGGACTCAGCGGTTGTCTATTCGTCTATTGACTTTTTCAGCATTTGAGCTACGTGACAATCGCAGCCATTGGGTGCAGCCGCCATTTTTTGTTCTTTGGTTGTATGGCTTTGGGCAGACCATTTGGATACCAGGCTTTGATGTTCTTTCTTGAAGCTGCTGTAGGGATAATCCAGTCATGTTTTCCCACGAATCTGATCAAGCGCAGGAAATGTGTTTTTTGCGTTTCATCAAGATCTCAGTTGGCAATGAAACGTGTTTTTGCATTTCATGAAGAGCTCAGTTGTCCAAGGCCAAGCTTTGGGACCTTTTGGTTTTCCCTTGGCCCATTCTTCGTCATGGCAGCGCTTCGCCGTGGGCTGGCTTAGGATGGTGGATGCCATGCCGAAGGAACAGGTGAAGTCGGGGGTCTCAGGAAAAGTCGGACACCCACAAAAGCATAAAAAGGAAAATCAAGGAAGAAATAAAGAGGGGGACGAACGGGAATGAAGGGAAATGAAATGAGAGAAGGAAAATGAAGCAACATAAAATGGAATATTAAGGGAAATCAAGGGAGATGAGAGACGTGCTGTCCTTGACTACTTGGAAGGCGCCATCACGTGCGATGCATTTTGGTCGTCTCAAATGGTGCACTATGAGGATACGGCGCGGCAATCAACAGCGCTTCCGAGTTTGATGAATCTCGTTTTTGGAACTCCCTGCACGTCAGTTTCCGCATCGGGCACAAGCATCGAGGCGGCAACTTTTCGTGCATTGCTGGCCAAGCGCAGGATCGGACAATGGCTTTGCTTCTCAACCGCGCATGTTTTTGTTTTTGTTCTGTTCCTGGTTGAACATGAAAGGAACACGATCCGGGGCTGTCGCTCGTATGAGCACATCATTCTGTGTGGCTGATGCAATTCCGTTGGACCGATGCCACATCACGCTATGCGGCTCAGGAAGAGGTTTGAGCGCGCACGCCGAGGTACATGACTGACAAGATCCCCATGGGGCGAACAGCCAAGCTGGATGAGGATGGGGCTTCTTTGAACGACAGTTCCTTGCGTCGCCGATATGATTTATGTTTTCAATAACTATATGCTTACCGCAAGTGACCAGAATTAGCTGAGGCTCCATTTCCGGATCTAGAAACTGCTTTGGGAGCTAGGGGCCACGAGTTGGCTTCAAGTCTGCTTGCCAACGAGCAAGTCTCAGCTTGGCAAATTCGGAACAGACCAATGTGGTGAATTACACGCCCTGAGACAAACCTGGAAGCTCTCAGAAGAGCTCTGTAAATGGAACCAAGCCTTTGGAAGTCCTGGGAGCTTCCATGTTAGTCTGAGGGAGGGTAATGCTTAGACAAGGCCTGCAAGATGAAGCTGCGTTGTCTGGAGTAGACAGATCAGTGTAGCTTGATCTCGTGCGGCTCAGATCAAGGCCTTGTTGGCCGACCCTGTTCGACCCCCGGCCAGCTTTTGGGCCGAACCCAAATGGTCAATTGGAGGTCAACAGAAGCACACACTTGAAGGGTTCCTCCTTTGGGTTTGGCCCAGAAAGGAAACATGACGTGTTTTACAACAGTTTGGTTAAAAAGGCCAAAATTGGAAACATGAAGTGTTTGACCAGTGCGGTTGGGTTGGGAAAATTCCTTGAAGGGGTCCTCCTCCCTCCGTTTCTGTTCATGGTTTCCTTTGGTGCATGTTGCTTGGATGTTAGGACTTTAACTTCTTGCCAACTCATGGGTTTTCCGAATCAAACCACGAACAGTTATTCACTTTTAGCAGGACTTCGCAGATTTCGCCGCCGAGTGTCGAAAGAGGTGGCCGGCACGGTGCTGTACGCCGCCTCTTCCGAGTGCTCTTTCACCACCGGCTTCTGCGGCGCCCTGAGATGCGGACGGCTGGACGGCTGGACGGCCGGGGACAGGCTGGGCATGACTCACCCAGGCGGGCCTTGGGATTGAGTTGGGAAAGCAAACTTTTGGGATGAGTGGAAGGGGGTTCCGTGCTTCTTTTGTTTCAATGTTTTTGTTTGATCCACTGCTCTCTCTCTCTCTCCCTCTTTCTCTCTCTCCCATCTTGTTTGTGGTCCCAATGCCGGAACGCCAAGTCGCGTTTCAGCGTCCGCCGATCAACTTTCCCTACTGAACCAAACAGGCCTGACCCGTGGCCTGTTGAAGTCGAGCGTCCCCCACGTTTTGGTGGCCAGAGACAAAGGGTACTGCTCATGCTTGTCGTGCTCTTTGCTAGATGGATTTCACAATTATTTGGGCCCCTTAATGTATTTCCAGCAATTTAGCTGACACGCCCCGGGTATTGGAGAGCAGATGCCTGTGACAGCCGATGGTTGCAACCCGCACACTCACGGAGTGGGACGGATGCCCTATACCCTAATTATTGATGCAGCTGCCTCAAAGGATGGAGTTGCAACACACAAAATCCCTTGGGACCGGCTAGCTTGAATGGTTCTTGATAGGCATGCAACGTTCCCTAGCGCGGCTCGACCTGAGCGAAGCATAGACAAAGCGGATACCAAGCTTCGCACTTTCCAACGGTTCCCATCTTGCTCGGACCTTTGAAGCCTCATCCGCAAAAAGCCAAGTGATGGCGTTGGATGGCCATGGCCATGGCATTTGGATATGCGGTCAGGATTCCAAGGACTGAATGGAAGCAACAAAACACAGGAATATGTGAAATGCTCAAAGGGACAGCACCCTGCACCCTTGAGACCAATACCCTGAATGCTTGAAGGGGGTGGTTCCTTGTAAAATCCACCCTCTCCTTCCACAAAGAAGCCCGGTGAGACCGAGGCTTTGATGCGAGTGGCGGGCGAACGGTGTACTGAGCACCTGAACCGAGAGGATCTGGTCGCAAAAAGGTCCTCTGGGATGATTGCAATGGCAGTAACACTCAGATTTGGCATACAACTTTGTGTGGGCTGGTTGCGCTACCCATACCGTTTGCAAATAAATCGCATGTTTGAGATCTGATGTTGTTTTGTTTCACTTTGCCTTACAGCCCGGAATGCCTCGTTGGGGCTATAGTCGAAGTCTTCAAAGGGCGGTGCCATCACTTGGTGATGAGTGCATCAACTCATAGAATAGGGCTATGCGCAGGCGGCCCAAAGGCATCTCAGCTTGCCAGTAGAGGATCAAATTTTGACTGAAATGTAACGAGGTGTGGCATCGACCGAACTGGCCAGTGTAACTTGTCTCGCTTGGCTAAGTCAGAGTAGTCCAGCACGATTGGTGTTGGTTGCCCAATTGCTTGTTTGCTTTCTTCTGACGGCGGTGGTGGACACCACCGTCAGTAGAATGGACCAACGAAGATATGCAACATTCACGTGCTGTGCAATGCCGCTGCGGCTGGCGTCTTATATTGAGAAGAAATGAATGCTCATTTTCGTTGGGCACCCTTTGGACCTCATCTACGGATGTCGGAGCATTTCAGAGCGGGTTTTGCATGACAGTTCATGGCCGCATGGTGTGGCAGTTTCGCAGTTTCCATCTCAAGCGGCGCGAGCCACACCCGCCGGACAAGAAGAGATACCAGTGACCGACTCTTACTTAGCAAACCAATCGTTTCCAAGCGTTGTTTCCCTACACTACGAAAAATCCCGGAACCGTGTTCAGCTCTTTGAAGTACGGAAAAAATCAGTTGGCACAGCTGGTTGAGCAATGAAGCTAGCCAACATGGCAATCCGCTTACCCACAGAGGTCATGGAGGATACCAAAACTTGTGAGACCAGGACAAGTGACAACTATCGTCACTATTTGCGCTTGGCGTATAAGCCTCACATAGCTGGTTCGTCGACAGTTTAAACCTCAGCAAACCATCAGTCTCCAGATGGTCAACATGCAGCCGCTATTTGTCTTCAACAGCTCATGATGAGGTAGAGCCGACAAAGCCGTACCTTGCGAGGGCACGGCGCCCGGGGAGTGAGTTGCTGCCTGGCAAACTCCGACAGTCTTTGCCCTGGTGCAGGCAGAGGGGGGGAGAGGCGATGATTTCCTCGCCAGGTGGGTTCATGCAGATGCCAAAGAGCCTGCGAGTTGTGTTACACAGTTTCGGAAGAGGACTCGGCTTAGATGACTGGGGATTCGAGCCCACAATCAGCGCTACCCTCAACTCTGGGCCACCATTTAGTCGCATCCACGCGCATTCAGTCACGCGCATTCACGCAGCTTGCAATCATTTGTCCGCCTGACCTTCCTTGAGGCTGAAAGATGGGCGGGGTTGGGGAAAATAGGAATCTGCCCAAAATGGGCTGCCCTGGGAAATGGAAACAAAGACCCTTGAGCCACACCCATTTGACTCCTCCCGTGAGCCACACGGGTGCTCGGAGAGGCCTCGTAGCAGCAACCTGACTGAGGCCAAGAGTTCGACGTGTCACCAAATGGTTCGGGTTGTTCCTTTTGGTTTCCCTTTAACAGCCAAAAACATGGGAGCCACCCCAACAAAAGAGGACACCCACTCGTCATCTTCCGATTTTCCGACGCGACTTTAGTTTCTAAGCCCTCGGTGGAAGCTCCAGGTGATGTGGCGCCCACCAGAGCCGGGCGCTCAGAAATCGGCCGAACTCGGATGGCAGCTGAGGTAATGAGTGTCTCTGAGAGAGCCTCCCCCCCCCCATTTGTGGGCTTCGGTGTTTCTTGGAGTTTCCTTTACGCCCGGCAAAATTTAAAACGCCAATGTGATTCACCTTCGGCCCCATCCTCTTTTGAAGGCGCAACATGTCACCCTTTGTGTACAAGCGGATGGCGTCCGAAGGAAATTGAATCCTTTGGCAGCCGTTTGGGGTCGCAGCCGGACTTGACAAAGACAGCAGAGCCCACGGTACCCTCATTGGGAAGGCACAAGCAAGGTCCCGCTGCCACTACCAGCCTTACTGCGCTTGAACGTTATCAGCATCGTGCGGAAAAATGGACAACCCTCCAGCACAACCCTCCAGGCCCTCCAGCACATTCACGCCACCCTGACGTAAGAAAGTGTGCATCTGAATTCTGCTGGGGAAGCACATCTCAGAATCATGGCTAAAACCTGGTTGAGCATTCAAGTTGACTACGCAAAACAAGCTTGGCTTCAATACACCGTCGACTACATCCACAGCTGGGAATCTGCATGCCCAACATGTACGCATCCCGTTCTCCTGTACCCTGACTTCTACTGAAGTAACGCAGGACAAATGTGCCATCTTCATCATTTGGGCACGTTGGCATACATGTGTGGCATCCTTTTGTTTGTGCCCGCACAATTGAGTCCAAGCACTTGCCCGACAGTGTCCTTCAGTTTGCGAAGCCCAATCGTACGATAGCGTGGCTCAGGTCCGTCCATTTGTTTCGGGTGTATATACATATATACAAACAACAAGTTGGACAAACCACCCCTACAGCGTCCGGGTGACATTGGTGGGCCCAACCACCATCCCAAGATGTGGCTACTGCAAACAGCTCGAGTTCACCTCTAGCATGGTTTCCCCACTTGGCCAGGTCTTACTTGGTTTGGGTTTTTGTACTACTACAAAGATAGTGAGATAGCCCAGTTGTAGGAAATGACAAGGACGTGACACGTGTCGCCCTGCTTCAAAAATTGGAAAAGACTCACCGCCGTGTTTCTGCGGTGTGTGCCGTGAGTTGCATGCGTTGAGTGTTGTAAGTCGTGTGTCGGGTTGTGTGTGTGTGTAAGTGTGTGTGTGTGTAAGTGTGTAAGTGTGTAAGTGTGTAAGTGTGTATGGTGTGTGTGTGTGTAACCCTCGGCGGCCGCAAGAGGGACTCCTGGCATGAAATTCCTGGGGACGCGAGCTGGATAGTGTTTTTTTTGAACAGGACTGTCGTTTGTCGGGGCTTGTTTGTCAAGTCGGCACTGAGTGGTTTGGCAGAACTCCACGTGGAGTCCATGACAACAGATGGTAAATGCGTGCGGCAACTGTCCGATTTTGAAGATGTTCTCCAGCGGTTGCGGATTGGGCCAGAGTTTCTGGCAAAAACAGGCAGGGGGCACGGGTGTGACATTCGACTCCCGTGCCAACGAAGGCGGCCGAATGTCACAGTGACATGCATTTGGGACGCCAAACGCACGTACCTGCCTCAAGTGGTAATAAGGGCTTGGTTCCTTTAAGGCTGTGTGTGCTTGAGCCCTGTTAATCTTTAGATGGTTTTCATCCCTCGGGAAGCCAAGCGAAGCCGCCGACTGCATTCTGAATATGGGGATCTCGAAGTACGCGGTGCCTCAAGTGGCATGTATTTTTGCTCTAGTCAGACCACATCAGTGTGTGCCCTCGGCAATCGGCCCGTGCTCGAAGATGCCGGGCGCGAACAGGTTTGCCCTCACGGCGCCTGCCTAGAGATTGGATATAAGCGTCTATTATGCCCAAGGGTGACGAAGGATATGAGTCGCCAGAGTATATTTCTCCAAGACGGATATGCCTTCGGGCGGAGTGTGGGATTTGTCCCCTGGAAGCACGGCCAATTGCTTTGGACGACAATATCACAACAACCCTTGATTTGATCTTCGCGCAGGTCTTTGGATAACGCCAGGCGGTTGTGTCCTGTTACCAGCTGCGGGGAGAAACCAAACAACGTTTTTTAAGTTTTATGGAATTTCCCTCGTTGCTTTTCGAACTTGCACCTTTGACGAAACCAACCGGTTGCAAGCAAACGCTGGCCTATGTTGTCTTTGACACGGCTTTGGGCCCAGATGTTAGAGATTCCTACTTCCCGCCGGCTGCCTCGCAATGTCTTCGTATCGGCCATCTTGGTGGGCGAGTGTGACTTTCTCACGTCCTTCGACCAAGCCGCAGGGAGCCGGCCCCCTACCACCATTACCGTCCTTGCCCCTTCACTCCAGCTGCAGTTCTTCATCCAGCTCCAAACTCCACCACTACCTCGCACTACGTACTCGTGCGCCTCCGCCCCACCCGTCCCCCAACCTTGCTCTTCTTCGCCGCCCCACCTGCAGGTTGAGGCATCGTTGTTTTTTAGCTTGCAGCCAGGCCGGTTGCCAGAATTTCAGCATTGCTTTGGGCTGAGCTTCTCGGAGGCTAAACCGAGTTTTTTTGGAGGCGCAACAAATTGCCTTCAGGGTTTAGGGTGACAGGTTGTCAAGGGACTTTGGCGCCCAAGCTTGTGTGTTTAAAATCATTGGAAACAGCCACTGCGAAAATGCAGGTTTCCTGAAACGAGTGCTTTTTGTCGAATCGCTTCGTGGCGTTTTCAGCTTGTGAGCGCGCCGTGTGACAGAATATCAGCAGTGCTTGAGGCTTAGCTGCTCAAGGCAACACGTACGTTTTATTAGGGTTTTGTGTGTGGGGCTGTTGGGTAGTGTTGGCTGGTAGGCTGTTAGGTTGTTGGGTTGCGCAGCAATCTTGCAGCAGCGCTGGCTTTTGTGACAAACTTGCTTGGTAGTGCAGATTGGACAAGACTCAGGACTCCCAATTTTTTGAGACGAGGTGCTAAAAATTCAAAAGTATTCGGAATGGCAAGCCTGTGTAGGAGAGAAAAGTGTCACGTGCTGTTGGGGGAATCACTTTTCTTCTCTCGTAGTCTCACATTCCTCTTGTTTTCTTCATGTTGGGCCCTTGTTTCATTCTTCCAAGTTTGGCCTTGCTCTTGCAAGGCCTTGCTCCACGTTTTTTGCGCGACTTGGAGATTGTGAAGCGGCTTGGCGAGGGCGGCTACGGGAAAGTGAACATGGCAGTCGACAAGCTGTCCGGGCAGCGTGTCGCTGTCAAGTCCACTGACCCCAGCGCCGGTGCAGCGGAGGCTTCCGCTCAGCCTGGGGCTAAAGTCATGTTGTGTGATCAAAGAAAGTTTAGTTAGAAAACTTCTGTAATACGAAAATGCGAAACACGCGAAGGATACGTGCATCTTGCCAGCGCAACTTTCCAGAACCGCCTACCAGTGCAACTTACCAGTGCTTCCCAAGTGCCGCCTACCAGCGCAACCTGATACTGCAACTGCCCCAACGCTACTTTCGAACGCAACTTGCCAGCGGTTGAATTGCGCAATCGGCTCCATAATTTTCCTGCCTAACCCTTCGCAACGCGTCGCGGGAATGTGGAGGGGAACAAGAGTGGTAAAATGCGCAGCGAGGTGTAAAAGTTGTGTTTCCGCCAACAGTTGGGTTGTTGGGTTGACAAGTAGGATGGACTTCCACTTGACAAGCTTGTGTTTCTGCGGCAGCCATTTCAAGCTTTGAGGAAGATTGCGAGAAAGCACAAGCGCTGTGACAGATGGTTCGTTTTACCTTGTGGTGGTTTGTGGCGGTCGCCGTCAGTGTGAACGATGTGAAGGAAGAGCCAAGCGACAGCCCGCCTCAAGAATCGCCAGGGGTTGGGTCTGTTGTGGTCTCCTCGTCCTTTTCGGGGCTTGTCCCTGGACACACGACCTTGGACTTGGATGTGAACGAAGAGCATGAAAGTTTTGAGCCAGGATTTGCCTTGGAGGAGGAGGATTGCCCGCCCCTCCAGGACCAAGCGCAAGAGCCGCCTGCTGCTGCAGAGGAGGATGCAGACGAAGAGGGGGTGTGGGCTCCGCCTCACAGCGGCAGAGCCGGACCAGTGTGAAGCGCACCAAGCTTCCTTGATTGTGCGTCTCAACTTGGCCGATTTGACCAGTCACCCGGCTGAGAAGTGGTCAGACGTATCAGGCAAGTCAAGAATGCCTACAAGTGTCTCAAAGGCATGGCTGACGTGGTACACGTCCGTGGTGGACGGTAGACAAACTGCAAGGCACGTTCGGCCCGTTCTGTCTGCCATTGCCTACGCTGCAACACGTGGTGCAGTTCAAGCTACACCGTCACCAACCGCTTTATCACCATCACCAGTCGTTTCCCAGCCACACCAGCGCCGGCTCTCCCAGCTTCTCCACCAGCAACAGCACCCTTACCAATCTCATCAACATTGCCGCGTGCAGTCCATCCCCTCCATGCACCACATCTCCCAGGCAACACGGAGATCTAAATGATCGCGGCGTGTCTCCCCGCACATCAAGCTGGTCAGGGCCGCCTTCCCAGAAGGCCAGATCTACACCATCTTCGTCAACTACAAGGTCAAAGTCCCGCTTTCCTTCAGGGCCTCGCAGTTCGAGTCCTCCCCAACTACTTCCACGATATCCTCTGCGGCGCAGGATGTGACTTGGTCTACTACGTCAAAGGCGGCCCCGGCCTCGTACAAAGTCTTTGTTCCTTTTCAACCACCCCCTCTATTTCCGCGAGTGGCTTGTTAGAACACTGGCCGACAGCAGCCTGCAGAACAGAACCGATGCTTTGCGTGCAGTGCCATCGCACCCTGACGCCAAGCGGCTTAGAGTCAGACTTGCAGTTCCTTGGTTTTCACACTGGTACCAGCAGCTAAAAAACTTGACGCCTTGCGATTTTGGGACAGCCCTAGAGCGACGGTTTTTGTTTTCAAGCAGCGATTCGTGCTTGCTTTACTTGCACTTTCCACCTAGCCTGGGCTCTCAGTTTGGCATTTTGTTCACGCCAATATGCCTTACCGATCTTGATCCCGGCACGACCGCAGTCATCATCAATGGGGCCCGGGTTCGCGCCGATCTCCATCTCGCCAACCGCGGCGTGAACTTGATACAGGGCATGTGCCGCGTCATCGTAGTGGCATGTCTGTTTGGTCTAGTCAGACCACATCAGTGTGTGTGTGTGTGCGTGCGTGTCTGTGTGTCTGTTTTCCGGCTTTCCTTCCTTGTCCTTACCTTGAGCCCCACAGAGTCTTGGACCTTGGATTCCCCCCTTTCCTGCAAGCCAACAGATGGACAGGGGTCTGCTGTCTCATGCGCAACGTGATCAACAAAATCAAAGTTAGTAGGAACAATCTCGGCCACCAATGGGTGGAGCCGCCTTTTTGATTCTTTACATGGTTCTGGGATCGACCTCCGACGTGGCAACTGGATTGGTGAGCCGGTGCGGCAACATGTTGAGCATTGGCCATAGCCCTGTTCAAAGCAAGCGCGCGCGGTTCGCTGCAAAAAACACATACCCTCCTGTCCAACATGGAACCAGCAGAGGGTCCCTTTCAAAGGGAAGTAGTCGTCCAGAATTCCGAAACGTCAGGTTCTATGATGGATGAGAGGGTACTGCCAATCGCACTGGCATCGCTTTGTCGGCTGTTTGCTGTTTGTTTTGTGCCTGCGGTTTCCAGAAAGCTCAGATGGCATCCATATCGGACCCGAGGTACGCCTACGATGGGCTGGCGCTTCGTAGAAGCTGGGGCCACGTGGGGGGCGGACACGCAAACCTCAAGCGTTTGCAGCGTTTCATGATCTTGGGGAGCTTCAACAAAGAATGGAACTCACCCCCTCGGAGTAGTCTTGGTGTGTTTGAGGCTTCGGTTTTTGGTGGCCTTGATTCTGTTGTGACTCTGATGCTTCGGGTTGTTCAGTATGTTTCGATTTCAGCCTTGCCTCCTGCATCACGGTTCCCACGTTCCCACTCCGATGTTGCATAGCTTAAGAAACCCAGCTCTTGTCCGTGTTTTTTTGTCTTTGTTTCCTCGAAAAAAAATAGGCGAGTCTGTTCCAATGGTTTCATGAGTTTCACACGCATGCATTCAACCATGCATGCAAACACGCAGGCAAGCACGCAGGCACAAAGGCGCGCACACACGCATGCAGCAAAGCATGCAGGCATGCACGCACGCAGACACGCAGGCACGCAGGCGCAGAAACCCAAGCAAGCACGCGCTCGCGCGGGCGCACGCATCCGCGCGGGATGGAAGCGCGCATGTGTGCCCTTACGCACTCATGCACTTAGTTGCACTGACGCACTTATGCACGTACACCCTTATGCGCAAGTATGCACTTACGAACTGAATCACTCTTGCGTACTTATTATTATTATTTTTTAATGCTGGCGCTCGCACACCGTTTGTTTGTTTGTTTGTTTGTTTCTTTTTTTGTTTGCTTGCTTGCTTGCTTGCTTGCTTGCTTGCTTGCTTGCTTGCTTGCTTGCTTGCTTGCTTGCTTGCTTGCTTGCTTGCTTGCTTGCTTGTGCGTGCGCGTGTGTTTTTGTTTGTGCGTGTGTTTGTCTGTGTCGCTTTATTGGTTGGCGCTATTTCAGTGCGATTTGCTTCCTTTGAGTCAACATGGGTGTGCCTGCTGCCCATCCCAACTTGTTCGGCTGAGGTCTGCGCTTCTCCGTTCCTAATAGGTAAAGATCCTGTCCTGGCTTGACAGAATCACGCTATTTGTGGCGCGTTATTCCTGGATGCATTCTGGCAAACCCATGGCAGAAAACTGGGTTGCAACTCCCGTGGGTATACTATATGTGAGGAGAACTGACTAACTGACCACTTACCCCTCCAAATGTGGGCCTAAACCCCAACAATGCAACAATGCAATGCCCGCAAAATGACCTATTGGTTTTTGCTTTCAGCAAAGTCCCAGTAGACGCAACCAACTGTGCGAGCTAACGAAGCGTTTCCTTTTGCTCAAAACAAGCTTACAGGTTTGCTATTGAGACGTACCCCGCACTGTATGCCTCTGATGATGGTGCGATGTGAGAGTAGTTCAAGCTTGACCCCACGCTGAAAGCATTGGACAGCCATATGTTCTTGAGTTCACTTGTGGGAAATGATGGAACCTGGCTCCTATACTTCGCTCGGTGGTTTTTTACAGGGAGTTTCCTTGTGGAGATGTTGACTCGAGCTCAAAATTCCGCTGATCATTTCAGCAGCGACAGGGCTCCGTGTGCCTCCCTTGTTGGAATTGTTGAAACACCACGGCCATTGTAGGCAACCTTCCTTTTGGGGTGTTCGAACGGAACATGTGAGCGACAGCCTTTCTTTACAGAAGACAATAAAGTACGGGCCGAGCGGAGACATGTTTGGCAACATGAATTTGGTGCAACATGAGGTTGAGATCACAAACACATGCAGTTTGGACAATGGGGTGAGAGTCCAAATGGGTGCAGAGTTGGACAACGAGGCGGGAACACCCCGACCATTCAACCATGTAGCAAAGCTGCCCTAGTAGGGATGCCTGCACCACCTTCGTTTCCGAAAGACGGGTGCTGCGGTTTATCAAGGGAACCCTTGTTGGGTTTGCTTTCAAGAGAGAGCAACACACTGCCCATGTGTTTGCTAGTTGGCCTTGTAAATCAAGGGAAGCCAAAACAGCACTGCCCCGTGGGTCAGGGGTCCCTTTGTTTCTCTTTTTGGTGGTTTTAAACATAACCTTGCCGGCCGGGCCACCAGAGATGCGTCCAAAAATCACTGCTTGCTGGCCTGGCCGCCGGTGAGCAAAGATGTGTCCAAATCACTCCCTTGGTGGGGGTGATGTTAGGGAAAATCTCGAGAGCTCTGTGGTTTGGAGGTTCCCTTGGGCTCCCAGGCCTGCCCCGGAATTCCTCGCCGCCGCCGCGGTCTACGAGGCCGGCTAACTCGGTTGCGTCTGGGGGTAAAAGGAGCGAGAAGCCGTGGTTGGTAGGTCTCTACTTGCAGATGTTTCCTTTCGTGCATTTTGCCAAGGGATGTTAGGACTCTAACTTTTCGCTAACTAAAGAGTTTTCGGTTAAACCACTAAAAGTTAAACCTTTAGCAGGGGAGCAGAAAGCAACCGAGTTTCCGTATTTCGGATTTTGGAAGTATGGTAGAGGTTGTAGAATCGACAGAATCGGGTTGTGGGATTCTTTGGAACCAAGTTGAGTCATGGTGGAGCAACGTTTGTGTAATTATTTTGTCACTGACATTGCTCTTACCAAACCCCTCAGAGTTGCCCAGCTTGGTCAGGGTTGCTCCGATTGAAACTCAAGGCATGTGTTTTACATATGGATGAAGAAATGCATTTGCTATCGTGGTGACATCGGTGCCGTTGCTGCAATAAGCTTCCACGTAGACATGACATAATAGTTGTGTAGGTACAAATTATGACAGTACAAATGAACAAACCAACAACTGCATCACGTGTGAAACGGAATTCTCCCGCGAGGTTCATGTCTACCCTGCACCTTGCCGCAAATATGACGGATTAGAAGGCTAGGATCTTGACACAAGAGACCTGGGCATGCTTTGGAGCGTTTGCCAGCTATGCCAGAATCTTTCCGGTAAGAGTTCACATGGGGTGCAGCTGCCTTGAATCAGTCAGAGCAGTGATCTTGATTGAACCCTGCCTCACGACAGCGGATTTGGTATTCCAAAGCCGTGGCTATGCCGGTCCAGGAAAGATGCGCAAGGCACTTTCAGACTCAATCTTCCGCGGTGTCATTGTGCGCTCTTCGCATTCCTGCAAGTGATTCACTTGCAGGCAAAAGACAAAACACGTTGGTGGGGCATTTGGGAGCTTGTTTCAACATGACTTAGGTGGCTTTAGGCGTGAAGATGCTTTAGGGGAGCTTGCCCTGGCCCCTTAAACCAAGCAGTCGCCCAAGGGCCAGGGTATCTTTCTTTCTCTCTCTCTCTCTCTCTCTGGGGTTTTCCAAACCTACAATCATGGGGCTGAGAAATAGCAATTCAAGGGGAAGCCCAAAAAGGAACCGGCGGCGTCGCCTATTTTAGAATCAAATGTGTGTTGGTTTGATACCTAGAACCAGACACGGTTTCCCTTTTGAACCGCCATCCCTTAGCAAAGCAGCCACTGGCTATGAATTCAAATAGGAGACCACCTCGAACATGGTAGGAGATAAGTTCCTACTTGATGTTCACCAAAAGGATGCAGGTTTCCGGCCTTTGGATTCTTTCCCCTGCGCCAGGGGTAAACCGGCAGACCACCTTACCAGATGTCGATGGCCATGAATTTTCAGAGTTGGAAGCACCTCGAAAGTGGTTGGAGGGCAGGAATCCCCCACCAAAATGATGTCCACCAAAGGGCCCAAAACAGTAAAACTTCGCACCCATGACTCTTTGCAGGTCACAGCTGCCAGGGCAGACCGCCGCTTGGTAATGTCAAGAGCCACGATTAGAAGAAACGGCGAAGGGAGACGCCGATTTTGAGCTGGTCTTGAAGGGAAGCCGAAAGGAAACCCTCCATTTTGCGGGGGTCTCCTGCTTGATATGCCTAAAGAGGCGGCCAGCTGTTGTCATGGTGTTTGCTTGCGGCTGGTGTCTTCTGTCATGTGTTGCATGGTGCACTGCTTGACTGATTCCGGCATTTAAGCAGTTTGCCGCCAACCAAGAACTGCACGGACTAGTTGGAAGCGTTTTGGCACTTGAATTTTGTGTTCGCAGTCTTGCCATAAGACCAAAATCAGGCAGGCACGAACACGAAAGTGACTTGAGCGCAACGCGGGAGTGGCTTCGACAAGAAACCAAGACGAAGTATGATGATACCAACATGCATAGTTGTTTTTGTTTAACCCTAAACAAAAAAGGAGAAATATATATATATATATACATATATATATATACATATATAAAACCTACTGGCTGGTCGGGGCGCACGGTGGGATTCACTGTGCTTTGCAGCCCGTGCAACGCCGATTTTCTCAGGCAAAGCGCCTGGACCGAGGCCGGCTCTCGGGGCAAAAATGTGCTGAAAAAGGCACCCGGAGGTAAACCGGGGGGTCGACGAAAAATCCAAGGAGATTCCTCACATGCGTCTTTTGAATCTTGCATGCCGAGTCGTAAGAATGTAGTGAGGCAAGCACAGGGATATGACGACATGAGATGCTCAAACTTAGGGAAAGCGGTCTAGGTGTCACCACTTCCTCCAAAATTGCTCGCAGGTCTTATAGAAAAGGTGCAGCCGGGCAAAACGCCTTGGTCGACTGCCTGACGAGCAGCAGTTGCCTTGCGGGTTGGTCTCAAAATTAAGGGACCCATGAATGGTTTCCGGCTTTTCCTAGAATCTGAAAAGACAAGTATCGTAGTATCCTCTCGCTTTGCGCGAAACATTAAGATTCATCTACGCCCCGTCGGCTTTTTTCGCTATCGGAACAGAAGTCGGCCTTTTTTTCTGGGAGTCAGAGGGACTCAAGCGATGCCAAGTCGGAACGGTCCTTGGTGCTCAATGATTCGGTCCAATGATCCAAGGGCCCAAATTTTATTCACCGAAAACAAAGAACATGCTTGCCTCTTTCGGTTGTACAGGGTCCCACCAATTTTGACACATGCTCAAATTGCACAAAGTTGTTGGTGGACATGAACCCCCATCGCATTTTCTCCACCAAAGGGTCCCAATAACAAACCATACCCAGGGGCCAGGGCCACAATCAAAACCCGAGTAGACCAAGGATAGTCCCAACCACACGTCGGCGCGTCATTTTTTAAGTTTAGGGAACTCCCCTTTTGAAGTTGGTTTTAAGGGGAGATTAAAGACAAACAGTGAATAATTATAATAATAGTAACAATAATACAAACAGAAAACACTTTTCCCTTAACACCTTAAAGCCATTTCCCCCCCCCATCCCCTACCTAGAAAGGACACAGAAGCGCGGGTCCTTGGCCCAAACCGCACCTTGCAAGGTGCGGCCCTGCCACGTAGCTGCTTCCGCCCGTGCCTGATCCAGGCGCGAAAGGGGCTGCGGGGAAAAGGGCCAAGGGAGTTTCAAGTGGCTCAATGTGAAAATTTGATCGATTTTCTTTGGATCCTTTGGATTCTTTGGATCGATTTTCTTGGGAGTTTCAAGTGCCTCGATTTTCTAGTGGATCCTCTCCAAATCATGTTGGCCCTTAGAAAGAAACCCAATGTGCCTAGAGGGGTCCTGTCCTTCGGCTGGTGGCTGGTTTGGTTTCTCGGGGTTTACATGGGCCGAAATGCAGCCCTGGATGCTCGATGCAGCAAGGAGCTCAGCCACACGTTCCAAGAGAAGTCAAGCGTGTTCCTCGGAAAAGCTGATTTCTTTCCCCCATGGCGCCTCATAGGTGCCTCACTGTGAGAGGAAGCTCGAAGGGAAGTGAACTTGTGCAGATGGGCACCCACCATCAGGCTGAGATGCAAGAAGTGTATAACAGGCCGGGGATCAGATTTGGGGAGGCGTTCCCTGGTCCACACGTAGAAGGCTCGCCAGGTGCTTGCATGGGGATTGATAGATTGACCAAACAGCGGGCACGGGCTGAGCGAAGCAAAGCCTCGCATTCTTTGGCAAACGGTTTGGGATGCACATGGCTGTGGGTCAAAGCCAATGGTACCATTTGGGGGTAATTAGGTGCACCCATTTTAGTCTATTTTAGTGGTTGGATTGGGATGTTCACTGGGGGCTAACCGGTCTTTTGACCCATGATTCCGGAGGCCAGGCACTTGATTTTGACTTCATCCGGATCCAAGAGAACAGTGCGAGGTCAAAGGATTGAATGCCAAAGCCACGGCAACACAAGTTTCCAACCGCTCGAAGATTAGCATGGGTGGTTATGTCAAGCGAAGAGCCATTTTTATTTCCTATACGGATAGAGCTTCGCCGAGCCAGTTTTTTCAAACCAACTGCGGATGGCGCCAGATTTCGGGCCACCAGAGAAATCGATTTCGGGATCAACGCCGCCCAGAAGTGCCTGAAGCAATCATTGTCCTTTTGCTCGGTTAGCTTGGTTAGAGTTAGATTAGTTTGATTCCATTTTCCAGGGCCGTCCTTTTTCTTCCAAAAGGTCCTTGCATTTTGTTTGATTGCTTTTCGGGTAAGCAACAAGGAGATGTCATTGCTAGCAGACACTGCGCCAATCTCAGACCATCTACCCTTTTGTCCAACAATGGAAGTAGACCTTCATTTGGGGCTTTGTTCAAGAGGATGGCCTCCTCCCTCCTCCACTTTCATGTTAGAAAGGGGGTCCACCGCCGTTGCCCGCTCTGGCGATCTTCGAGTGGAAAACGAAGGCGGACTCGTTGCGACCTTTGGACTCCTTGCAGGCCCGCGCCAGCCCGCGGAGAGGCGGGACGTGTTCACCGGTCGAGGGGGCGTGAGGTTGAGCTAGATCTCCCAGTAGTGCCCTTTTGCCAACTTGTTTTGGGGAGGGTTCCCCTACTAAAATAGACTACAGAAAACAGTTGGTACCCTTATTCTAACCTCACTGGAGGACCTCGGGGGCATGTCCCCGTTGAATCTGTACGGGGGGGCAGGGGGTGGGCAGTCCAACTCACCTCACGTGTGGCTTGTTACACTTCCTCTGTCCAGTGGCACCCTGTCGGCTCTTCGGGTGCCAAGCATTCCCCTGTTTGGCAGAGCATCTCCCGTAGGATGGACATACTTTTGCGACATGAGGTGAGGCTTGGCACTCCAAGAGACACAGGGTATGAGTGGTTCTTGGTGTTGGCCTCACAGGGACGCCCATTCCAAGACCTTGCGGTGTAATCATATCCCTTATTTGTGCTTCATGCTTGAATCGAATTTGCAGCTTTGCAGCTTTCTCACAAGGCTTCACATGTTGAGTTGCAAGGAATGTTTCAGCACAAGCAAGATGATGCAATACACACATACACAATATAGTCATACCGCTTATTTGACATGTATATGTGTATATAAGGATATATACACTGGCTGCAACTTTCACCACTTCATGTTCCCTAAACATAAAGCTAGCCTTCTGGGTTTCTTTGCAGCGGTCTTGAATCGCAAAAAGGGGAGACGCACGGTTGTCCTTTTCGGAGAGGGACTCAGAACCATATGGCCAAACCATGCTTTACCACTGGACTGACCCTATGCTAAATTGTTTGCTCTTGAATGCACACCCCTTCGAACAACTTTGTGGCATACTGAATAATTACTTGACTTGGTGTCCCCTTGGCTTTTTAGTGTTTAGTGGGGATGTCCATTCAACCCACCAAAAGCTCAGCTTTTAGCGGGGGACCGAAATGGAAAGAGCGCAGACTGGAGGAGGCCCAGACCAGCTCGTGTGGCTTCTGGTAGATCTCTGCGACGAGCCGCCAGACTCGCAGATGGAGCTTGGAACCAATCTCGAAGCGGCGGAGGGTTTGTGGATGGCAAGGCAAGGTGCGATGGAGGTTTCTGAACCATCCTCAAGCCAAAAGCAACAAGTCCTCATTAAATAAATATGTATATATATATAAGCTTCCAGAAAACTGAGCCGCTCGCGCCGTGGAATCTGCGAGAAGTGCTCCGCTTGTAACCCCTCGCGACGAATGACTGAAGGTTTGGCGTACGGGGGCTTGCGACCAAAAGGGAATAGACACCACCTCTCAGGGGCTTTGTGGGTTGGCAATTGTGGCCAAAGCTTTGTGGGGTTCCTATCAAAGGCCACTGGACACAATGCATCTACAAATTCTCGCACGCATAATTTGGATGAAACGGGATGCTTCCGCAGATTGGCGTGGCCCATCCTTCCTTCGAGTCTCTTAGCTCGAGTTCGGACTCTCCGGAGGTGCCACCGCCTCAGAGTGTTTGGCCCGGGGCCCCGGAATCCGGAAGGTTCCCTTTTGGGTTCCCGCGAGGGTTCCAGGGGACATCAGGTTCCATGTTAGATGGGAGGGTGTCTTTTTCTCTTTTCTTTTCTTTTTTTTTTGGGGGGGAGGGTTTTCAATATCCCCGGGCCCCGGGACACTTGTTTTTTGAGTTTTCAATCACTTTCAGGGAAACCAAGATCTACGGTCCAACGAGCTTTGTGACCCATTTGGCTTCTTTCGTCGGGGGAACGCGTCAACATAAATCTGGAGGAAGCCATAAGGTCCCCCAATTGCGACAGCCCATTTCAGGAATCAAGTCTTTGTCACTTGATCGTCTAAAAAGAAGTCTGCCAGTGGATCTTCTATTTAAGGGACTCAGGCATCCTTGACAGAGGTTGGCCCGGGGCCACATTATTGGTATGTTTCAAGTCTAGGCACCTCTCCAGACGGTCCATCCTAAAGGTGCCCCTGGCTTTGCACGCGGTCACCCGAAGGGGATTGGACCACTGTCCCTACACGGCGATGTATGAAGCCATGACTTTCGCACGTCTTGCCCACGCTTCTGGGATAACATCGGCTGAGACGCTGAAATTATCACCTGCGATGTGTCAAGACAAAGCCTTCAAGCCTTCGCGTGTGTGTGATGCCCAATGCGTCTCGCCACGTTGAGCGAGTCTTGAAGCAGTGAGTCGAATGTGTTTCTTTTGCGGACGGAAGGAAGGACGGAAGGAAAGACAGTTCAAAGTTGTAAGTGCTTCAATGAGGCAGAGTCACAATCAAGCCTACTTCGTGGGACCTTTTCCCAGTAGCTTCTCGACTCTCGCGGTTGCTTGAACTCCGGCCACCTGCTTAGCTCAATGAACTGTGGCATTGCCATCTACCAGATGTGTTGAATTCGCCGTGCCATAAGCGTGTCTTGGGCTGTTTGGAGCTACACCAATGGACAAGCGTCCCAAACTCAGAGCATGCCTAAGGTGGACCTCAAGGAGGGGCAAGCACGGCGAACAGGTTTTTATCCCACTTTTCAATGTGCACTGGGGGTTTGGCATCAAACAGTTTTGGCAGGTGGGTGAGACTCAAGAAGATCTGATTGAGGGATGACTTGAGGGGCCAAGATGTGAGGCCCAGGAATTGCGGCCGTCTACGCCGCCACTCCGCTCCAGGCGTGCAAGCCGTTGTTGGAGTCCTCCCTTTGCGGGGTCTCGTATTTTTTCAACGCAGTCCTATGTTTTCGGCGGTTTGAAAGATCTCGTTCTGAAGCGGCGTTCGCCACCATGGGCGACCATGCCAAACCGGGATGGTCTCCGATGAAATCCACCACGTCAGGTGCAATTATTGCTTCAACTGTGAATGTGACCGAAAGATGACCTTGTCGCTCCGGATTCATTCTTATTCTGGTTGCAGGTACGATTCTCTCTTGGCACTGACAGATGCTTTGAAAGCTGTTTGGTCTGAGGCTGTGGGGTTCAAGGATGCTCTGCGCCAAACACCTACCTATAAAAACCACGCGCTGTCAATGTGTGGTTCCATGGTTTTGTTGCCTTGGTAAGCATTGGTGGCAGCGACGCAAAACAAAATGCACGCGTTGTTGTTTCCATGGCTATCGGCTATTGATCCCAACACAAACAGACGGGGGACCTTGACATTGGTATGAGACCCCGGCTTTTGCGAAATGCACTTGCGGATATTTGATCCAGTCCCATGATTCAAAGTAAACCGATGCTTCATGCAAGCGACATGAAACGGGCCAAGAAAGACGCCGTCCGATGGGAAAGTGACACCTCCAGTTTTGGTGCCTGTCCCGAAGTGAATTGCCCCAAGCCTATGTCATACAAGCCTCAGCAGACGGAGTCTTTGTTTGCTGTTTCGCGGCTGGGTGCTCCACAGCAATATCCAACCTTCAGTGCTTGGCAGCTCCAGGTCTTACCTGCAGCACACGTGCGGCACTGAGAGCGGACCAAGGTCTTCAGGAAATTCGCAAACACGCGGTGCGTGTTTGTGTGCCATTTTGGGTAATGCCAAGCTATGCAGGGCTTTGTTGAAGAACACATAGGCGAGAGAACGCAAAGCCAGGGCAATTTGAGATACTTGGCCGCAAATTTCAGCATGGCGCTGCGTTGTTGGCATCTGTGAAGGCCGGCCAGTCCCGACGGCAGACAGCAGAACCTTTGACTGGGCGTATCATGGAAGTTGCGCTTGCAAGGATGGTATGTCTGAATGTCCCTAGGTGTTGTTGTAAGGTCAACGGGATCATCTGCTGAAATGGAACATCCTACATCCGCAAAAGTCTCCCAACTTGCGGTGCTTTCTTGTAATGAGGGTTGTCAAGACTAGGTCTTTTTTTCGCGACTTGGTTGGCGTTGCCCGTTGTCCCTTTGAAGAAGCAGCTCTTCTGCTGAAAGATGCTTCTCGATGATGGCAATCTTTTGTTTGCTTCAGGGAGCCTTAGGGGACACACGCCAATAATTAGTGTGCATGTGTGGTGTGTGTGTGTGTGCTTTTAGGGTACAGGTTTCTTCTTGATCTGAAGGGCAACCAAGAGGAGAGCCACCCCTTTTGCCACCCATTTTGTTGGTCCCCCAAGCTTGAGACTCACCGTTTGGTCCCAGCACCAGCCTGAGGCCCCGCGCGGTGTGCCAGGAGAGGGCGAGGGATTGAACTCCCATGGGTTCGAACAGTTTGGTGCGGGCGGGGTGTTTTTGGTATGGGCAACCGGCCGATATCACTGGGGAAGGGGTTTTGGATCCTGTGGGTTTGGCAGCTTGGCGGGTGCTTTGGCGCCAGCTATGGGTTCTTGGGTTCTTGGGTTATTAAAGGCACGCTTGGAAACCAGGGGCAGCAATTGTTTGCTGGTATTTACAAGGAAATCATCATTCCAGGGGTTTCTTAGGAGGTGCAGGATTTTGTCCACCCACCGTAGGTCATGCTTTTTGAATATGAAATCTACTCAATTCGGACGGATCCGGTTATTCTTGGCTTTCAAGAGTGATACTTGTCGAACAGTGAAGAGTGATACTTGTCGAACAGTGACCAGCAACACGTGGGATTCCTGCGATGGAGGCCAGGATGATGGCTACTTGTTAACACGCAAGTGGACGATTGGGGGCTTCGGGACCCAAGAGGACAGTAGTCCAAAAACCTCCATTTGGGGGTAAGTGAAGGTTAGTAAGGGACACTCCCAACCATAAATGGGTGCGGCCGCCTTCTTAATTCTTGAGGCATGTTTCCGGGGAACCAACTCAAGCACGATCCGGTGAGCTTCGGCGCCGACAGGACCTGCCGCTGAGACACAGTCCGCTGGACAGCCGGGCGGCCTTTGAGGCGATCCAGTTCCCTTAGGTGCGGCTCTGTGGGTTTAGTGGACGCCATTTAAACCACTCAACGTTGAGAACTTTTAGCAGATCTGAGGATAGCCCAGTGTTGGGAAGATGTTGTGACTTGAAGTTCGAGGGCTGCGTGTTTGGCCACAGATAGAAACACAGACCAGGTCTGATAGGAGGCGTCATGGGCAAGCCCAACGCCCCTTCCAGAGCCGTTCCTGGTCCTCCAGCTGCCCAACGCAAATCCAGCATGACCTTTCGATTCCTAATTTTGATCCATTGGTCATGTCCGAAGATGAGAAAACAATTCTACGCACGCGTCTCTTCCTTTTTTGGACAGTCCAGTCCAATCCTTTAGCTTTTGATCTCACCAAAGCAACATACACACAAACTCGAGTGGGAAGATTCTTTCCCTCTAAAGCCCAATCATGTTGGACCAACGGTCAACATGAAGAAGTCTTATCGCCAAGCTGATGCCTGCGTTCGGAATCTCGATTTGCACATTCCATTCGGCGCCGAGGTAGTGCTTGGGAGATCACACCCTCCTCGGCAGCTCGGCAGAACCTAGTGGGAGGAGGCGGAAGTTATCACAGAGCGGGGACTCTGGGAGTGCATTTTTCCATGTTTTTCGACTACGAAGAACATACAGAGTTTTCTATGCTGCTCCAGTGCATTCGATACAGAGCAAACTCTTTCAGTGCCTTTGTGTGCTCATAAGTATATGAGAAACAGTATATGAGAAACCACTCTTCTGGAAGTTGCCACTCACTGTGCCAAGAGTCCTGGGAGCATGTCCTTTTCGTTAACACGTTTTATTTTGTTTTTGGTTCTCGAGATCTCTTTCGTTTTGGGCTGGTATGATCCAGTGGAAAGACAGTATGGGAATTGTGTTTTTGGTTTTCTCGAGGTTTTGTTTGGCTGGTTTGATCTACGCAAAACGTACACTCCCACCAGCCCTCGAAACAAAAGGCGTTTCTTTGCCTGAGTTGAAGAATTCGCACCAGGCGAAGCAGAGCCATAGAGGTGGAACACCTTCCATGTCTCACGGGTTTCCACTGGCATGGCCTCACGGTACGATGACGATGATCGCGTTGCCTTCCTGAGTCCTAAGATGGGTAGGGAAACACGGGGTATACAACCACTATATAACCACTATGTAAAGGGTACACACCTTGATTTCCCTCCGCGGTAGTGGTTTGGGGGTAGTGGAAACCATCTTAGATGAGTTTGGTGAAGCTCGGGCAGTCCCGACCATCAAATGCCGCCCTTTGGTTCTTTACCATGGGTTTTGGGTAGACACCAGGTTTTGATTCTGACTCAGGTGTGGGTTCTCAACGTGGGAAGTTGTTTTGACAGGTTTGTTTGTCATTTCCAAAGGTAAACCATCAAGGTGGATTCAATTTAAGCAGTTCACACGAAGAATGGGCAACACATGGATACTTGATCCAGGTTTTGATATGGATTGCGTTAGAGCAATGGGAAGAACACGTGGATTGGCTCAACATTTTCAGGTCTCACAGTCTAAGCCCACAACTGGCGGCGCCAACCCAGAAAACGACACCCAAAAGACCCTTGCAGACCCGTTTTGGGGGGGACAAACGAGCCTTCCAATCCCATTTTGGAGTCAAAGACACGCAACAGATCTAGCTAAAGCACCAATTTACACTCCCTCAGACAACCAGCCTTTACATGGAACCAAGTCTTCCATTTCGGGGTCCTGGTAGCTTCCATCGCCCTAAATAAGGCCTTATTAAGGGCTTAATAAGGGCTTATTTGGGCTCCCCAGCCCCTCCCTCCCCTCCCTCCCCAGCGCCCATTCCATGTTAGCCTGGGCTCCCACAAACAGTGAACGAAAACCACGTCTTCCATTTCGGGGCAGCTTTCGCCCCAAACACGGCCCTTTTTAAGGGGCTTAAACGCTTGACCAGGGCTCCCTCGCCCCAAGGCCCCGTGATTCCATGTTGGCCCCTGGGCCCAAAGCGACACCCAAGCGCTCTAGAGGTCGGCTCTGCGGGCTCCGCGCACTCGGGGGCCTCCACGGCCTGCGGCACGCCTCCCAAGGCCTGCGGTTCGCCTCGTCTTTTTTCGTTTTGTGGGGGGTGGAGGTGGGTTTGAGGCTTGGGTGGGTTTGAGGTTTGAGGCTGCACCAAGTTTTTGTTTGGGCTTGAGGTGGGAAGATCTTTTCTTGGAGAGGGTGCTGCGCTATGAAAGCCTAGAAGCTGAATCCTTGGCCTGTAAATGCTGCCTTTTTCAGTGTGCATTCTGCCTCAAGAGCGAATTTCGCACGCGCCGGCGCCCTGTATCCGCGCCTGCCAAATGATAAGCTCGCCCGGTCTAGTGCGCCCGCTCTCTGCATCCACGCCAGGAATCGTCGGTATGTGACACGCGCCACGGAATGCATCTCTATGCCGCGAAGCGGCTGCTTGACAAGCCTGGCCTGAAGAACTGCAACCACTTGTGCAGCTTTGACAGCGATTCCTTGTGGCTTCTTGCCTGGAAGCCTGACCCCTGTGACAATCCAGTGCGTTACCGCCCCCAGAAACGACAGGAATCATTCAGGTGTTTGCGCGCGTTTTAGCTTGAGGGAGCGTTATTTGTTCCAACCTGGGCTTTTCGTTTTTCTGGCACAGCTAGATTCTGCTGGATTCCACTGGTTTCAATTTAGTGCCAATCATTTGGCAACCCGCGCATTTGTCCCAAAAGCACATCTGGGTCCCCTAAACAAAGCAAGGAAAGGTGGGTGCTTCATGGATCTAGGGCTATGGGACCCTAAGTTCCGGGGAATGGAATCCTTGGCCTTCAAAAAATGTGCTCCAGTGCGATGTAAACCGCACCTCGGGTGAGGTTTTTCTGTTTATGCCCTGTTCTTTGCGGACCAAAACGGAGACAGCACGGAAAAGAGACCTGGGGCTCCAGCTTGGGTGAGGAAGGCGTCAATGTGGCTGGGTTTTTTGGAAGCCCCCACTTGGCTGAGCTTAGAAGGGAAGCGAACAGGAACCCACTCATTTTTGGGGTCGCCAAGTTTTACAGAAAAACTCGTGCACTCTGCCGGCTGATGTTTCCTGCTTCGCTCTACCGGTCATCATAAGTGTTGCAACTGGTACGGTCTTTACACGTGTGATACAAGGGCAGGCATAATTACTAACAGTACTTCATGGTCAGGACTTAGTAATTTAGTTTCTGGTACCCCACACCCCCGCTCTAGTTGTTCGCACCGCATATGTATGTGTATATATATATACATATATATATATATGTATGGAGTGTGTGAGTTAGGGCATCATTAGCCGTTGCACTAGCATATCATTTGCAGGGTACCTGGAAGATCATTTCCTCTTTACTCGGACCTTTCCGAGTGGCATCTTGGGAGAGGGTACTTTCAACCGTGGGGGCTTTTGTCATTTAGGCCCAGTGTCAAGGTTGGGCCCCGGTCGCCAGGTTTGTCAGACCATTGCAACCCCGCCTGCCGGGATCTCAGGGCTTGGTCGTCCTCGCAAGTTTGGGCAAGGAGAGATGCTGAGATGCCTGTGTGTTCTGCCCAAAGGTAGGCGCTTTCAAAGAATTGGAAGCGCGTGCAGAAGGATGTAGTGCACGGCCAGCAGGAGGGACTCATTATGTGTGGTGTAAGTCCTGCGGCAGGTGTTTGGCTTCTTAAACTCGGACTCCATCAATTCATTGATGACAGCTCGTTTTACTGCTTCAAACTGCGAGTCATGCAGTTTGCCGTCGGGGGATAAAAGTGGGAGGTTGTGCGACCGAACTGCTGCTCGTGACTAACTATGCACACCTGCCCGACAAGTCACCCGCGCCATTTCATCCACCCCCAACCAATCAGGAATGCGAACCCAGTGTTGGGAGGTGGCATAATGCCCTGCCCACATGTCAGAATGTAGCGCAGGATGTCAAGTGATCCCCTTCCAAATCCCAGCCTGTACATGGACTGAGCCCGCGACGGAAGGCTTGGCTCACTTAGATCTTGAGCAAGCAGAGACAGGAGCACATAGGGCGAAAAGATTGCGGGGTCACATCAATGAATCTGATTAAAAGGTAGTCAAACGAAGAGAGACGCAAAGGGAGAGGTTGAAGTGAGGCTTGAGGTCTCAATTCCATTTGCTATTTCCTGACACCTTTCAGACAGGGTCATTCCAAAACCCCCCCGCCCTTCCCGCTTTCCGCATCCCGGCGATTCGGCGCATCAGATTCAGCGCGAGGTGCAGGTGCCCTCGGAACCGGCCGCCGGGAGCTGCTGCAAGGCCCAGCTGCATTTTCAGGACCGCTGATCTCCATCCGTCCGAGACACGGTGATCTCCACCCAGCTGCATGACACCTGCACTGAATCAAAGGCACATGCCCAAAACAACGCGAGGATCGTCTCAAGGTGAAATTGCAGGGATGAGCATGTTGTCACTGAGCCCCCGACCAACCTCCAGTCAACTGACAGAGCATGAACTCTGAGCCCAGCTTTACCCATACTGTGGATGAACGAAATCCTGTAAATACCAAAAAACAATGGTTTCCGTTGGGTTTCAAGTGGTGCAGGATTTCGTCGAGCGCTGACATAATCCCTTTTATGAACTTGACTGAAAATGAACAGGAAGCAAGATATTCATGAAATGGATGTTTGCCCCATCAGCGGCCTACCTCAAGTCACGGACAATGCCCAGCTGACTGTGCCAAGAAACAGCTGGATCATCTTCTATTCATCCAGAAGGCCGAGAAATAAGCTGATGACCCACCAACATAACTCATGGGGCAACTTGTATAAAGCCAATCGCCTCATTTCAAGTTAATGAGATCCATGCCATGTGTTTTTTCCTGGATGCAGTTGCAGTATAAATCATGAATTCGCTCCGTGGTGTGTGCGTGTGCGTGCGTGGATGTGTGTGTGTATAAGCCTTGGTAGGTGACAATTAGAAACGCTCTGGATCTATTGACCGGTTGCTGCAACAGCCTGCACCGCTCCACAAGGATTGTTGGTGTTTCCCAAATACGCCAGGGCAATGGTCAGTGCAAGTCCCATCCCGCCGAAAGTTTTTGCCTCGAGGACGATCCCTGCCTTCCAGCACCGGTTGCGCCACTGGAGGCGCTCTCCTGAGTGTTGGCCATGGCTGACCTGTCAGCATGCGCCATACTGGCTATACTGTGGATGGACGAAATCCATTTCGCACCGCTTGGAAACCAGGGGAAGCCATTGTTTATTGGGATTTACTGGGGAATCCAATCATTCCGTTGGGTTTCTTTGATGATGCGAAATGGATTTTGTCCATCCACAGTAGGTGTCCTTCCTCGGTTTGTTTGGTTAAACATAAATAGATTCCGCTGGTTTGGATGGGTGCATTCCATTGGGGCAGCCGTTTTTTTCTTTGGAAAGGTCACCCATGACATGCACCATCCATGAAGACTTCATGAGAGTTGGGAGAGGATCCATGCACCTCTTTTTTATTGATGGTGGGGGGCAGGGGGTGGGGGGGGGGGGTGCAACGCACTTCGAGAGGGCAGGCTTCCTGTTTTGGAAGACGATATTGTTCTGGCTGACCATTCGGCTTTCTCCAACATGGGCCCCCAAGTGGGGGAAATAACAAGCACTACGGCAGATAGAGTTGGCAAAACACACACACACGTGCAAACAATATTCCACAGGGTCAAAACGTACAGAAACGCAACTGAGCAAAGTGGTCAGCCGACCAAACATTGCAACTCCAATCCAAGAAACACATCCGAGCTGTGCGAAGCCCAATGGTTACTGTACACAGAAATGAAAATCGCAGGCAACCAGGAAAATCGCATGCAACCAGTCTCATTGAAACTTTTCAGCGATGGAGGACTTGTGTTTGTGTTGCTCAACATGATTACTTGCCAGCCATCATCTGACACTTGTGCATTGCTACATCGACAAAACCGAGCCGCAGCGAAGTCTCATCAGTCCCTGTTGGCATGGTTTTGAAGGGGAACCACCTGCAGGTCCCCAATTTTGAGGGCCCATTTGCACAGGTGCCAGCGCGGAGCAACGGGAGCGTCCAGTTCCGGAGCATGGTGTCATTCTACAGCGAAGGCCTTAAGACCTGCCGCAGTTGGCAAGCTCTAAATGGGACTGGTGTTGGCCACGTTTGGTGGGGCAGGATGTTTGGCACCGAGAATCATATGGCGGGTGAATCGCTCGAAATGAGGATGGCCAAATCGAATCAGAACTCTGGGTATCCATTTATTCACGTTAGATCAGGATGGATACTCAACATATATACAAAACAACTCTTTCTCCCTCTCTCTCAAGTATACACATATGTATCCAGTCGGCATTTGGTTCTTTAACTGAAGCCCACCATTTCACCCGCGCTAGCTGGACATTCTGCCAGCAGTTATGGATTGACCTATGTCAAGACCCTTTTTTAATCTCAGCATCCCAGAGCAAGGTCAAGAAAAGACCCATCCGGATGACTGTACTCGTCAAAAAGATCACTCTAGACTGGATCCATCAACAGAAAGGGGCATTGCTCATAGCTCAGAGCCTGTGGTTTGGCGGTCGGAAAGGCCCATCCCTCCTTTTCCTTGTTTGTGTGTGTGTGAAGCCACATGGCGAACGTGCACACGGTTTGGTCTGGCTTTTGAGATTTCCTTGATCAGGTTGCTTGCATCGAACAAGTCCTGGGTAACGGGGACTGGCAAAGCTTGCTGGTGCGATACGCATGGAATGAGAAATGGAATGGCAGGTGCCTACAAACCATCCAACTGGTGGTTTCCTTTAAGGGGACCCCCATCCCCTACTTTAGTATTGGGGGGGGTGACCGAATAATTACAAGTACTTTAGAGCCTCCGGCTCAGTCCGCCGACATTGTCCTCTCCCTTTTCTCCTTCTTCCCTCTCCCTTGTCTCCCTCGTGCGTTCTGTCGTCCTCTCTCCCTCCCTCTGCTCCCCATTCTCCCCATCCCCCCAAGCCTCTCTCTCCTCAATCTCCCACTCTCTCTCTCTCTCGCTGTCTCTGTTTCTCTGTCTCTTTCTGTCTCCCTGTCTCCTTCCTGTCCACGCCCCTCTACAGAAAAAGGGCACCCTAATTCGAACCTCTCTACTCTCTCACTTTCTCGCTCTTTCTCTTTCTCTTTCTCTTTCTCTTTCTCTCTCTCTCTCTCTCTCTCTCTGTCTTTCTGTGTCTCTCTTTCTCAGTCTCCGTCTTTCTCTCTCTCGCTGTCTCTCTCTCTGTCTGTCTCTTTCTCTGTTTCTCTGATTCTGGCTCTGTCTGTGGCTCTGTCTCTCTCTCTCTCTCTCTCTCTCTTTCTGTCTCTCTCTCTGTCTCTCTCCCGCTCTCTCCCTCTCTCTCTCTCTCTCTCTCTCTCTCTCTCTGTCTCTCTCTCTCTCTCTCTCTCTCTCTCTCTCTCTCTCTGCATTGCAGCGTCACGTCCCCCCCCGAGTTGCCTCGATGTCCGGGCACTGCCCCTGCATGACCCTGAACTGTCATCTCACTACTGGCTTTCCCCCTTCATGTCCTTGTCACGTTTCCCATGATGTCCTGGTCCTGTCCCTTCCATGCCATTCAGCCCCCCCTTCATGTCCCTGACATTTTCTCGGTATGTCCGCTTCATTTGCCATGTATGTCCCGTTCTTTCGTTGCGAGTCATTTCCCTACATCTCCCGTCGTGCTTGGTTTCCTTGTGCTTTGTTTCCTCTCCTTCCCCCTGCACTCCCCTTGTTTTCATTTCTGTCCCTTGCATGTCCCTTTCAGTTCCCCTTTGTTTCCCTTTCATGTCCCGCTGCTTTCCTGTCATGTCGACTTCCTATTTCCTCCCCTCATTTCACTTGCACTTCCTTGCATTTCCCCTCTGCTCCCCAATATTTCCAGCAAAAAAAACACGGGTTTTCCAGCGTTTTCACAATTAGGACGTCCAAAAACACAGAGTTTTTCCAGATTTTCTGCAAAAGGAGGCAGGAACCCCAAACCAGCAAAGAGCCGGCAGGGGGAATCGAGCCTGGGACCCCTGTTTTGCGACACCGGCTCCCCGAAGACTACGTTTAGTGGAACGTCATCAAATTGCCGCGCGGTCCTTGGGGGCCCCCCCCCCCCACGTATCAGACGTCGGGCGGGGGGGGGTTAGGGGGGGGGGTTATCCTCTATCCTCTCTTAGGTGTCCGACACGCCGAGCAATGTCGGCGGACATATATTCATACACACGCCAATAATGCAAGTGCATGACGACATGGGTATATTCTGTGCAAATGATACATTTTCGCTTACTTGCAACCTTCTCTACGTGTGACGTCGCAAACCCCCTACTGGCGTCGCCAGAACTCGTGCCAGCAAGAAAACTGGGTGGAGCATTCTTGTGAGAAAACCGCCCTCGCAGGCCAAAACTCCGGCGATGCCTTCGAGGAGCGGGCTAGATGGAAAGATGACTGGTTTGCCCCCTGATGAAGGAAACGGGGCCCCCTTGTGCGCTGAACTTCGCACTAAAAAGGAACGCGGCAGAAGGATTGCCAGCTGTGCTGTTGTCCGTTTTGGTTCCACATCCTGGTGATGGGGCACTCTTGTCAGGAAGCAACCATCCAATCCAAGAAACAAATATCCCCAGAAGGGGTGTCGTTTTTGAGGGCACCCTTTTCACCCGGTTTTCAAGGGAAATCACCCCCATGTTGGGGTCCCCATATCACACGCTCTAGCGAGGTGGCGAAAATCATGAGGTGCGCCGATTTTAGACGAGAGTTGCTCTATGGGCCCCATGCTCTAAGGCTGAAGCCGGCTACCGCCAAGTGGACCAAGAGGGCCCCATTCTCTTCCAGTCTCAAACGGTTTGAGCCTCAAGAAGCGAATGGGTCGCCTCCGCCAGGAAAGGGCCCCTGCTTCTCATAGCAAAAGATCTCATGGTTTATGATGTTGAACCGAAGCGGGCATGGGTGTGCAAAAATAGAACTGTGTTTTCCTTTTCGGACCAAACTGAACCGTAAGCCCAAGATATTGCGTGCGTGTGTTGTCTCTAGGCTGCCGCTCAAACCCAGTCTGCCGCGCCGGACGAGGCGAGTTCGACGCTGCTTCTGGTGAATGGCGTTTTTGGAGTGGGCACCCCTCCTGTTTTGGTGCTTTTTTCTGGGAAATCAACAGGACACCCGTCCTTTTTCGGCAGGTCCCCCGAATTTTATGAGGAAGTGACACTTAATACCGTTGGTTTGGCGAGGACATAGTGCATTTGCCACCCGCGCCCACCAATTTTCTCACGGGCTTTTGGGGAAATGCATAATTTGACCTGGGCTGATGTCAACCTTCGGCTGCAGACTTTTTGCAACAACGAATTCGGTGTTCTAGCAGATTCAGAGGCAAATGTCAGATTGACAGGTTGAGGCATCCATCGCTGAGTCGCTGGATTTACATGGATTTACTCCTCGGCACTTCTTGAGCTGGTAAACACTGGTACAGAAGCAATGCCCTGGTCTGACGAGCAAACAATCAACTTAGATGTTGATGTAAGACTGGTGGCCAGCTGGCCTTCCATGCTTTGATACATCCAGATAGCTCTCAGCCTTGAAGCACTACTTGCTTGGTGACTAGAGGAGATGTTTGGTGGAACCGGCACAGGACCACGAAGTGGATTTGACCTCAAGCTTCGTTCATATGTGCGAAAATGCGCCTCCAACGAGCTGGTGGTGGGAAGGGAGCCGTTACGGAGCTACGCAATCGTGAGGAGATCTTTGCACAAGGCGAACCAATGTTTGAGAAAGGTCGTTGCAGAAACTGCGCAAGGTCTCTTTGCGCGACCTGTGCCAAATCGCTTTGATCTTTATCTCAGAAGCCTCTTGTGACATTGTGAGCATTTCAGGATGTCTGTGCCGGATGTCTTTGCGGGATTCCAAATCAGATTCTCGGGAGTATCTTTACAGAAGCTCGCAGCATTTCTTCAAGAATCTTTGCAGGAGCTCCGTACAAGACCCCCCTGGCCCAATCTTGACACGATATCTTTGCAAGAGCTTTGCAAGAGGAGCTCCAGCACGAGCGATCGAAGACAACCAAAGTGCGCAAAGCTTGTTATCCATGTGCGAATTCGCCTCTCGCAACATCCGGAGAGATTGAACGCAGCACACGCAGAGGCTTAGCTTTCATATTCGTTATTTTCACAGCGCCACAGTGAATCCATACCGCAAATCCACGGTTTGGGAGTTCGCACAGCACCGCTGCGAGAGCGCGCCCTCAAAACAAGCGCCGCAGCGAGTGAGCGCCATCGAAGCACGCTCGCGCGACGCAGTTTTTGAGTGAGCCTGCAAAGTCGAAATGCACTTGCATGTTTTGTTCATGAGCAAATTTGTGCGAGCTGGCTCATGTAGACCGGTCACGGCCACGAGGCTCACCCTCAATACAAGCGTGACTTGCTGTTGCTGTAGGAACCTCTTAGTGAATAAGGACATACCCAGATCGATTAGAGGCTGTCCACTGAAGAGGCAGCACAGTTTACTCGTGTGACAGCAGTCAAATCGTTTGGAGAGATAAGCCAAGTCTTGACAACTTCGCACATGGGCCCGGCGAGTGGAGAAGTTGGAATGCACCAGCAGTCTTGCATCAAACAAAGCCTCACTGAACGCCCCCAAGCTGATTCGAACAAATCCAAACCTCATCAACAAAGCCTCACTGAAACCCAAAACAAACTGAATCTTCCAACTCCTCCCAAGCACTTCAACCAAGCTCACTCCAAGCACTTCCCCAAATCCCACGTCAGACCGTCAGGCATGCAAGCCGAACCGCTCTCATGCGGCCACCTTTGACTCGGACATCACCGAGGCTCATGAGGCAGGTGGGGTGGATGGTGTCTCAATTGAGAATGAGCTTGCAACAAAATCGATACCCCTTTGTGGCTCCCAGGGGGATCTGAGGGCAGCCCAGACCCATAACACGAGTTTTGTATCATTTTGAGAAGCAAATGAGCTTGTATCCCATGATACGTTATGGCTTGCCCAGATACCCATGATACCCATGATACGAGTCTTGGAAGCTATATACTTCTGCAGATGGGAATCTCTTCTACCATGGCTCTTAACAGAATCAGCTCGAATTGGGCGCTCGAGCAGCGGCTTCAGCCACAAATACAGCAATATCCCTGCGTGTCCCATGATTTCTGGGAGAGACGATGGCGACAGTTTCCTTTGGGTTCCCCAAGGAACCCAACAAACTGTGAAGCCTGAAATAGGGAACTTTGAAGGAAACTGTGCGTGGGTTGTTCTCATTCGCTTCTCAAATGATAATGATGGCACCAAAGATTGGCTCTGGTCGTTTGCCTCATCTTTCATTCAAAGTTCCATTTGAGCTCTCAAGGCCAGAGCCATCAAGCTCCCAGTGTCCCGCGCACAAGCGAGAAGTGTGTTGTTTAAGTCAAGCATAGCGCATTGCATCCGAAGGGTTGGACCCTTCGGCTCCCCCAAACGGCTGCAGTGCAACTCCTCGTGTCCTTTTGGCGGAGGACTGGAGGTAGGTCAAGGAGTCAGGCGCAAGTCTGGAGTGGCGCAATCTGGGACACTCCAAGAGACCGAGTCCGAGCCTCAAGTGGTGAGAGGCTCAAGGGGAAGGCCAATGTCCTCTCACTGTTCGGGCCCGTCGGGCCCGTCAGGCCCGTCAGGCCCGTCAGGCCCGTCGGGCCCGTCAGGCCCGTTGGGCCCGTCGGGCCCGTCGAGCCCGTCGGGCCCGGGAAGTTTGTCGGCCGACGAAAGAGGAGGCTATTAACTTGACGCAGTCATTGACACGAGGCTGCCGTTGTCTAACAACCCACGCCAGGCACGGAGCAAGATCTGTCCAACTAGCCTACTATTTTTTTCCTCGAGCTCACGCCCACAAACGCTCTCATCCCACAAGCCAATGCCCTCCAAATCCCACCAGCACGGCCGCTCGGACCCACATCCCACCAGCACGGCCCCGTTGAAAGCTCCCCGCACCCATCGCACCAGAGATGCTTTTGGGAAAACAGGTGCCGGGAGCTCTGGTTATGCTAGGCACATGGGCAAGCAGGTTCGAACTTGATAGAAGCCAATACTGTTGCGCGCGTGTGTGTCTGCTCCACTTACATGCCCTGTTGGCCTACTCATCTTTCTATCTAGCCATCTGCCTGCCTATTCATCCACCGAGGTCTTTGTGCATCTATCCATCTACCTGTCCATTCTTTTGTTTGTCCATCCGTTTGTCCATCAACGCATTTGCGCATTTCCCAACGTATTTGTTGCTAGTTCCACAGGGCCTCTGGTCTTTTCGCGGCGTTGCAGCTTTTTTTTCTGGCGAGGTATGCGGGGGGGAGGGGGGTTGATGTCTTTGCTGTTGATTTTGCGACTGCTGCTTCTGCGATGCCTGACCGTATCTCCAATTGACTTCCGTGCGCTGTGTGATGATCAGCACGTTCTGTGGTCTTCGTGGGTCTCTTATATCTCGCGTTCTCGCCAGGCGCTGCCTTTGCTTTTGGCGGCTGCTGCGTATGTATTGTCTCCACGTGTACCGTCAAGTAGATGCCCGCCAACTTTATCATATCACGATTTTTTGAGGTGAGGCTGAGAGCATCAAGTAGATACCCGCCAACCAGCTTGCGAAGATGTGCAGCTGCAAAGAAATTTGGTGGTGTGATCATGATCTGATTTGCTCAATGTTTGGAGCGCACAACCTAAATGGAGCCCAAATGGAGATGATGTCAGATGAAGTGTGTTTTCTCTGAAAAACATTAGTTTGGAGGAATTCTAAAACAGTTGTTCATTGAGAAAAGCTGAAATCATTGGCAGTCGCATTGAAACCAAGAAGGGTGAACCTTGAAAATCACCACGCGCCTCATGGCGTAATGACCTATTTGTTTGATCCAACCTGCTCTGACCTAATCCAACCCAATCTAATCCATTTGCCTATCTGCCTATCTTGTTTCCTGTTCTAATGCAATCAAATCGATCTATCTCTCGATTCCCTCTGTTTTTATCTTGCTATCCTTCTATCTACATATCTCTCCTACCGATTTATCTGCGTATCTGTCTATGTATGCATCGGTCTACCTATCTATCTGTCCATCTATCTGTCCATCTACCTACCGATCTTTCTTTCTGTCTATCTTTCTCTTCTTCAGTTTCGTCTACCTGTCTCTGTCCATCTACCTATATATCCATCTACCACCTATCCAAGATATGTTAATCGGATCCATCTATTTACCTATCTATCTTTTTTTACCTATCTATCTATCTGTCTGTCTGTCCATCTATGTATCTATCTATCTATCTATCTATCTATCTATCTGTCTATCTATCTATCTATCTACTATCTCTCCTACCTTTGTAAATTTCTATCAACATGTCACAATACCTACCAACATGTCACAATATCTATCACTATCGATCCATCTGTCTGTCGTTCTATCGATCTGTCTAGTTAGCCAATGATCTATCTTTTCGCTTAGGCCCGCCCAGCGCGTGGAGCCCGTCATGCCCGTCGAGCCCGTTGTCCCGTTAGGTTGAGCCCGTCACACACGCGAGGCCCGTCAGGCCCGCCGGGCCCGTCAGGCCCGTCGGGCCCGTGAACGGTGAGCGGCCGCTTCTCGGGAATGGGTGATGTTTAGAATTTGCCTGGCAGCTGGTAGCTGTGGCCACAGAAGATGTGAGTCTGAGGAAGTCGCATCCTCCATGCGAGTTGAGCCCTGCAAAGAGATGTGCGTATTGACCGAACACACCACTGGCTTGGAGCAGCAAGAAGGCTCAGGTCAGACTTGCCCGCCTTGCCCGAGCTCGGGCAAGTGATGAACTCTTGGAACATGATCGGCGGTCCCACCGCGTAAAAGCAGAGAGATCCTCCAGATGTTGGGTTCGTGGCTCCCTGAAAAGAGGCAGCTGCCTTGTTGCCTTGTTTGAGCCTAGATGTGTGTGTGTGTGTGGTTGTTGTTTTTTCTTTTTTTGGGGGGGGGGGGGGCAAGGGAGGGCCGCTGAATTTTTGCTGGAGGTTCTCCCGTTTGGAGGCCCCATTTGGAGACAACCTCAAACTCGCCAGGGCAAACGCAGCAGCGTGCTAAGCTGTGCTTCGACCAAGGCCGGGGGATTTGCTTCAAGCATGTTTCAATATGGGTATGGGCTGGGGCTAATTTAGTCCCACATGTCAAAACTTAGCCACCAAAAAGCCGCAGGCTTCAGTTCTTGGTTCCATTTACCAGGGCAACTCATGTTGGGGCTACCCATTTTTTGACAACCACAGCCACATGAGCGTTTCAGGCCGAACGAAGACTTGCTGAGAATCTGAATAAGGAACCACCAACAAAACCCATGGATGTGGCGAAATCAAGGCTATAGGGCCCACTTTTCTCTCAGGGAATCGCCCTAAGCGAAAAACATGTGGCAATGCGCCATATCCACCGTCAACGTCCACCCATGTTTTTTTTTTTTTTTTTTTTTTTTTCCGACACAACCATATCTGAAGGACTGGAGTCCTTGGGGAACCCGCACGGGATGTGATGCATTCATGCCGGCCTTGTGGTGCTTTCCTGGTTGCATGTCTAGGACAGAAAGTTTTTGCCGGGGGTTTGAGCATTGTGCCCGGAGGCTTGAGCTGCTACGTTGAAGGCCAGTTGCTGCTAAGATCACGAGCAAGCTCATGCAAAGTTGCTTCCAAGGGAAAGGACCAACACACAATATGTTTTGAAGACTTTTGGCTGGGATTTTATTGCTGACCTGCTGTCCCGAAGAGCGCAACCCTCTTGGCACAATCGTAGGTTGGGGGTCGCAAAGAAATAATTGTAAATGCAAGCACTTGAAAGGATTAGTTGTTGTCTGGGACATACGAAACTCGCGCCTAGGCTGAACCTAAGCCAAATTACCCCTTTGCCCGAACCTCCCCGGTCTTGGTGATGGAAAGTAACATGGATGCAGAATTTCTTGAGCGAAGTAAATCGAAGTAGTGGCTAGCATCGTTGCCACTCTTGTTTCACTGCGCCTGCTTGGCTGCCTTCGAACAAGCCGCGGACGCGAACGAGCGAGTCCAAATCGCTTTCTATCCTTCGCACTTGTCGTGAACGCACAGCTTCACGAGCGATCGGAATGCCAACAAACGATGCCAACTTGAACCTGAAAGCAGGGCGGCGAATTTGAGAATGCTCAGGAGAAAGTATGGTTTACGTGAGGCCATGCCCTAGCCATTCAGCCACATAGATGTGAACATACTATCTTGAGCTTGAGTCCATACTGGCAAACAGCGCAGGCGCTACAAGTAAGTTCGCAATGATCAGGATGCAGCATGTCCACGTAGTCGACATGGCATCGATCCGGAGTCGCAAATGAGATATCTGCGTTCCTAGGATACCAGTTGGTACGAAAGCCACGACAAATCCGGGCGAGGCGCCAAGCGTGCGGGAGCGGAGGCACGGTTCCGTTGCTGATACTCTGGTCGAGTCGGAAACCGGAATCCATGGGGCAGATGAAAACCCACGACACTTATAACAGGGTTGATACTGTTGCAACGGTATTCCCAGAAATGTGTTTGGTGTCATGGGGAGTGTTTGGGTGCAGGTGACTATTCAGTCTGCGCAAAGAGCAAGCTTCCACTCAGGACCACGTTCAAGAACATTTCCAGAGGTTCTGTCAAGGACAGGCCCGCGCGAGTTCTCAGGAATCCAGCACGGCTAGAAGTACAACACTTGTGAGTTGTAAGGCTCTCAGCTCATACTCTGCAAATTAACATGAAAGCCAGGAGACCTTGCCCTGAAAGGAGGTTCCTCAAAAACGTGCTGGGTTTTGGGTTCCATGTCAATGTGGGGAAGTGATTTTGCATCAGTTGGAAAGTCGTGGTTTGCATCAAGATTCAGCAGTGAAGGGCGCTTTTCCGCGATGCGTGGCGACATCCTGATACCTATGACAATCTCGCAATGTATCCCGCTCCTAGTCGGTTCTTCAAAGGATTCTTCAAAGGATTTTTCCAAGGATTCTAAAAAGCATTCTTAAAAAGGGTTCTAACAAGGATTCTTTAAAGGGGTTCTTCAACGCGTTCTTTAGAGGGTACCCTTCTTCAAAAGGTTCCGCCTCACATGTGCGTATGGTGGGCCACCCTTAGCACGCCAGGCGTAGCAGTATCGGCAAGATCGGAGGCCCAATCGCGTGGGGGGGTGAGCTGGTGTATCTCCAGGAGTGTCCCCCGCGTTTGCCCTGGTTGTCCAGCTTTTTTCTGAGAAAGCTTTGAACATAATGTTACATTCAGCTTCACAAGAATATGGACGATAATCTATATCAAGGGTCCCTGCAAGCACACCCTCCCAGTAACATGGCACCCAGCAGCGGGGCGTTTCCTTGGGATATTGATATCAGTGAAGTGTGGAACCAATCTCTTCATGACATACCTGTTGTCTTCCAAAGAGCTGGTACTGGAGGCGACTTGTTTTGTGCAAAAAGACGATTTACGCCACGCTTGCTTCTTGCAAGACAATCCCGGGGGGCTTTGTGCATGTGTGACTGTTGATGTTCAAAGCATTGCAGCACAATCAGCGTCCAATCTGCTCGAGCCATTTGATGCTCCTTTCCAAACTTGGGCAGGCGCAAACATTTCCTGTCAGGATCGCAAAGCTGGACATGCATTGCCTCGCACAAAAAAACACCGCTCTATTGCGGTTTTGCCTCCTCTTTCTCTCTTTCTCTCTTTCTCTCTTTCTCTCTTTCTCTCTTTCTCTCTTTCTCTCTTTCTCTCTTTCTCTCTTTCTCTCTTTCTCTCTTTCTCTCTTTCTCTCTTTCTCTCTTTCTCTCTTTCTCTCTTTTTTGTCTTTCTCTCTTTCTCTCTTTCTCTCTTTCTGTCTCTTTCTCTCTCTTTCTCTCTCTTTCTGTCTCTTTCTCTCTCTTTCTCTCTCTTTCTCTCTCTTTCTCTCTCTTTCTCTCTCTGTCTCTCTCTCTTTCTCTCTCTTTCTCTCTCTGTCTCTTTCTCTCTTTCTCTCTGTGTCTCTCTCTCTTTTCTCTCTCTTTCTGTCTCTCTGTGTCTCTCTCTCTCTCTCTCTTCTCTCTCTTTCTCTCTCTCTCTTTCTCTCTCTCTCTTTCTCTCTTCTCTCTCTTCTCTCTCTTTCTCTTTTGTCCACTTTGTCCTTCTGTTTCTCAGCAATCAACGTTTCCTGCATGGCATGCAGAGTTGTGTTTGTGCATGATTTGGATTAGTAAGCGCGGGTTGAGCTGGCGGTTGCTACAAAGCAGAATAAGCGGCATGCGTAGCGGTGACAGTCCGAAGCACGCCAGCGGAATAGCAGTGCCCTAGATGAAGCAAATGCCCACCAAACAGGAAGCGTGACTACGGTAAGGGCTAACGCAGTTATTGATGAGGGGTCAGCGCTGTCCGGCTTCCATTTTGGTTCGACTGAGTTTCTTCGCTAGCGCATCAGCCAGCAGCATGCTTGAGACCTTGCGTGCAGTGAGATCGCCCTTTTGGTGACTGTGTGGTTGCAGTCGAGTTGGGTCATGCAAACTTCTTAGGCGAGGAACCGCCCGTGCGAGGGCTCGTTTCATGGTTGTTGTTGGAAATCATTTTGCATTCTTGCTTATTGTGGTTCAGTGGTTGAAATCCAACCATTTAACTGCTAAAACTTGAGAATTTTTGCTCCCCAAACCCAACGTCAGCCAAGGTTTTGCGAGACACCCCAACAGCCTCGTTCCGGCGCTCCACTCGTCTCGCTTTGGTCGCACGGAAGGCGGGCTGTCGCGCCTCTCCAATCGCCGATCCAGCGTG